CTTGTGGTCACCGCCCGAGGTGGGTTTTGAAGCAAAAAAGGTTGAAATAGAAGCGCTGGTTTAAAAACTACAAACTACAAAAGAACCACAAAATAAACCCAAAAAAACGAAAGTTCAGATCACTCGCTCAATCGTCGGGATCGAGCCAAATGTGGAACGGCACGACCCGAGCTTATTCCAGGTTCATGGCGTGAGTAGAAAGATCTAAAAGTCGATCAGAAAATTTAGCTAACCGGCGCAGCAGTCAAAGGATTCGTCAGGCTTCAAATTTCCATTCCACTCTTCAAGGACACGATGCTCGTGTGAGTAAAGATATTGAATTTTGGCATAAAACGAAATAGAAAAATAATGACAAAATTTCTCATTCTCGTTAGATCCCATTAGTTTTTCGATATTTTCGATTTCGATATCACGTTAAATAACCTAAAAAGAAGTTATATTACCCTCCTAATTTTCAGTATGATGCAGCGGTTACAAACCGTGATCATCCCCTGCGCGTGGATCGAGCTGACCGTTGAGGTTTGTAATAAAAGTCTCTTGAAACTACAAATTCTAATTTATTATATTTTGTACCTCCTTTTTATAAAACTAATTTTCAGCTATAAAAACATGGAAACAGTATGAAATTTAGATGAAAGACTACGCGCATCGATTCATGAAGCTGCTCATGGTCACCGTTCCGATGATAATTCTCATCGTCGGTTGCGTATTGATAGCATTTCCGTTATTACGTAAGCTTGCCTTAAAAGTATAATTTTTTCTTCTGGGGTTTTTCTTTCCAATTAAAATGGAAGAAGTGTTTCTCAAATTTTTTACTTTCCTTAAAAGTAAAAAAAAAGTAGTTTACAAAAACTATAAAAAGACAAAATATGGATTTTTCGACCAAAATTTGAAACACTTAAAGTTTTCAATAGTTTTTCGCTTGAGACATAGCTAATTTTATCTAAAAAGGCTATTAAAATAATTTTTCGACGTTTTTATACCATCTGAATATAGAAAACGATTCGGAAATAGTACATAACCTCGAACTTTCAGTGCTCATCTCCTACGTTGCGATTCGGGCGCGAAGCCGGAAATACACCAGCATCGTCGTCCCGCCAAATCAGCGGATCGAGACACATGATGAAACATGGAAATAACGACCGCAGAATGTAGTGTAGATAAAATATATATTTCTATACCATCTCTTAAAAGGCAACAACTCTTAGATTTGCTTTATTCGTGACAAACAACAATCATCTCAACGCAAACAAACAAGAGCACTAGAAAAACAGTGGCAACAACGTGAAAATCAATAAAACAACAAATCAACATTTTTTTTGGGGGAATTTATTTTCTTCTCTTTCCCTTGGCTTTTCCGCCGGCTTTTATCGGGCTGATCACTTGCACGTCATCATCCTCATCATCATCGTCACTTTCGGCCTCTTCTTTCACCTAAAAAATTAAAATAAATTTTATATTCATTTTAAAAATCGAAACTAAATAACAAATAGGAAATCTTTTAATATTTAAATCCTAACCTTGGCTGGTTTTGTGGCGGCCGGCTTCGCTTTCCCAGCGTCTCCTCTAGCCGATACTCGCTTCTTTTTGAGGGGCGGGGAGGCTTCTTCCTAAAATCAACATTTTCCCTTGAAATGTATATTTTAATGTACCTCATCACTTTCTTCTTCTTCATCTGCCGCCTCCTCATCGTCCTCGTCTTCTGAATCATCACCCTCCTCGTCGTCGTCACTTTCCTCATCCTCACCACCGGATTCCGATTCCTAAATTTACGGGTTATTCACTCATTCCAGCACAGTAATGCATAGCAACGTATCAGAAAGTATTTTAAATGTTTTTTTTTGTAAAATTTAGCTAAATTTCGATTTTAAATTACTTAAAAAACAGAAAAATGCTTAAAAATTTAATTTCTGTCGAAAAATTATTATTTTTAGTTTTTTATTTTAATAAAACGCGTTCTGGAGGTTTAAAAAGCGTAGAAATGTGTTCACAGAAATTAGAAATCAATTTTACGTAGTTATAACTAATTCAATTCATACCTCATCAATGGCACCCCAAGCCTCGCTGTCGTCACTTTCATCGCCGTCAGAATCGGCCTCAGTTTTTGGCTCCTAAACGAAATTCAAAAACAATTTTTGGCAATCAGTACCTTTTGATTAATCTGCGCCCATTCCTCCTCAATCTCCTCCTGCTCCTTCTTGGCCGTCTTGCGAATCGACAGCTCGTCGCGCATCAGCACCGCGTTCAGCCGAGTTTTGCAGTAGACCTAGAAAACGTAACGATGACGCGGAAATCTCGACCCAACCTTGCTGACAAGCTTCCGGGTCGTGGAATCATGTATCCGGGTGAATCGATCGATACCGCAGCTGGCAACGTAGGGGAGTGTCGGATGGCCGTAGATCGAGCGAATCGCACCAGCTTGGCCTTTGTATTTGCAGACGAGCATTACTAAAAAATATGCATTTGCGCGAATTTTTGTTTAAAAAATGATATTAGTTAAACCCTCACTTCTCGTCCCTCTCCAGTCAAAAAGACCAAGCTCTCCGTGCGTGTTGCCGGCGTAGATCTAAAAAAAAGAAATTTTTGGCATTGGAATAGATTTTAGGGAATTTTAAGTAGGTGGAAACCCGAGATTTCCCCTTATTTAACCTATACCTCTGTATTCAAACATTATAATTACTGTTAGTGTTTTTCTTCGCCTAAAATTACTAAAAAACACATGACATTTTTAGTCGCCATTTTTTATCATTTTCATACAGTTTCGAGCAGTGATTAAATTCGAAATAACAAAATCATTACAATCACCACCTCAATATATTTTTGATGCTCTTTCTATACCCAAAAACGACGCAAAAACCGTAAAAGTAATTTCTTCTATTAGAGAGGCTACTGTAACAGCAAAAATTCACCTGTTTGTCCTGGTTGCTCAACGAGATGGCGTTGATCGGCGACTCCATCCACTTCAGCTGCATCACCGGCCGCCGCTGGGTTCTCATGTCGTATAGTCGGAGCTAAAAGCCAAGAATTCAAAAACAAAACTATAAAAAACTACCGTTTTAGTTCCAGTGCCGGTGATGAGCGTCTCCGTGTTGGGCATCAACCGTACATCCTTGTCCCAAATTTTGATGGCCAACTGCAGCTCGTCTGGGGGCACGTTTTTCGAGATCCACGTCGGCTTCTCGGGCTTCTCGAGGTTGAAGACTTTTACTGGGCAGTCTTTCCCGCCGGCCGCAATCCGGTCTCCGCATCCGTTCATGCAGAGGAGCCCCTAAAACCGAAATAATTCAATCAAAAAATCCATACCGGTCCGCCATTCATCGTCGCCAGCTCCGTTCCCTTGCGATCGGCCACCAGAATCGAGCCCGTCTCGCAGGCCGTCACGATTTGGTCGCTAAAAGGAACAAATCAGGAATGAATTTTTACAAAAAAAAACTGGCTTTTTAGTATCTAGGATTTTTAATGTAAGTCTCACCACGCTTTTTTACTATCGCCACGTCAAAAAGTTACGTTCTGCTATTTAAAAAAAAACTTGAAAATGCCGATTTTTCGACCACCATGTTCAATTTGCAGCCAAAAATTTTAAAATGTTAAACATTTTCTAAGCTTTCTGAAGTTCATAATTTTCCAAGAAAAAAGGAAGCGCTTGACGCCGTTTTATTTTGTTGTTACTAGACGTAAAAACTTTGATTGACCGTTTCTCCGACTTTTGTAAGCCGTTTTTCACTTGAAACATAGCTAACTTTACCAAAAATTATTAAAATCGTCGCCACTACGTTCCTATGTATATCCAGGCTCATCAGCCTTTTTTAAACCTTCAGCTTCCCTCCGGAAATCTACAGAACGCCAAAATCTCTATTTAAAAAAATCTTACGTCGGCGTCAAATACAGCCCATTGATCTTCCCAGTGCCCGGCACGGTGTAAAGGTCCTCCCTGTGGCACGTCGAAGTATCAAACGTGCGGATTTGCCGTGAAGCCGTGGAGTAGAGGAGTTGGTTCTGAATCATCTTTCTCGGAAAAAATTGCGTTTTTACCTGATCGGGACTGCCAAAGATCATTCTGCTGATTTCGTCCTGTTTCGGCTGCAGATCCTTGACGCTGTTCAGGTTGAGGAATGTGTGGTCGATCAGGGAAAGGCCTAAAGGTAGGGCTTTAAAATTTGTTAAAAAAAACACCTTTTAGACAGCCCGTCGCGGCCGCGACATAGCAGTCGTTCATATCTGGAAATTAGGATTAGAAATCGTAAAAAAATGAAAATCGTTACGATAGACGATACGATTAACGCTATCGTTTAAAAAGAAAGCGTAATTAAAATGGCTAGAACCATATCTCTAAAAAAAATAAGAATTCAAAAGCTTATCACAAAGCAAAAAGCGTAAATTTGTGCCATGGATAAAAACATAGGCTCTTTCGCATTATCGGGTAGGGGGACAAAGTTTCTTTCGAGAAATCGTGAAATGCTTTATAACGTAGGTAGTATGAAATGTTCTAACCGTGTTTTTAGTAAATTTCGCTCTATAAAAAAACAATCAACAAAAGCTTAGAAAAATTTTTTAGGTATTTTTCCTTCCCCGACCTAAATTTGAAAAATCCGCTCTTCAAAAAAGTTGATCTCCCGATAATGCCAAAGAACCAATTAAAACTATAAAAAACTTTACCGCAAAATTGTAAAATGAAATTACGAATCCATAAATCAAGGGCTTTCAAAAACCCATACTTTTTGGACTATAAAAAATTAATAAATTAAATGTTTATCCGCGTAATAAGAAGTAAGCAATTCAATCAACCCATCAATTATTTGCTATGAACCCGAAAAGATAAATTTGAGATCTGTGAGCAGAGAAAGAAAGGGAGACAGGCGGGGCGGTCAAATTCGCAAAACACCGAGTCGTTAGCTGGGATTGACACTGGGATCGAATGCAATGGGAGGAGGGCAAGGCATCAAAATTGGGAAATAAGCGAACGGAGTAAGTGAAGAATCAAAAACGTCAGGGGAGAATTATTCGACATCTATGACTTCCGGGTTGTCGACGCGCGGCTTCTTGACGACAGTGCTCGGCGTAGCCGAGGTGCACATTTGACTAAAAAAAGAAGCATTTGACGTGAAATTGGGTTTCTTTTGCATTATCGGAGGAGGAAACCAAAATTAAAATCGTTCTGTTTTTATTTTATAAGCTATTTTTGCCATGTTTTCAGGGAGAAACTATAAATATGCTTACAATAATTTCATCACTTCTAATTTAGGATTTAGAAATGTTTGACGATTTCGAATTTTTTGACAAAATCGACCATGTATTTCGGTCGATATTTTCTAAGGTTTTGATGCGAACTTAGGAGTTTTCCTATAAAAATAATGGGAAATCATATATGAATAAAAACAACCCGAAGAAAAGATCAGCTGTCCCCCTCCGATAATGCACAAGAACCAAAAATTAAATTAAGCCCAAAAGTCGAAAAAATAACCGACCGTAGAAAGGCGCTAAGCTGTTCCGGAGTCATGTTGGAGGCGTTGGGAATTTGGTAAAGGCTTTGGGCACCCGCCCTAAAAAAGACGACTTTAGAGGCTTGCTTTCCCTAATCTCTCTCCCTCTCTCATCGCTACCAAAAAACTCACGACATTTGCTGAACGGTCCTCTTCTGGCCCAGCGCATTTTGGGGCGTCGAATTGGCGCGCTGCGGCGCCGGCGCGGTCGGACGCGCGGCAGGCGACGTCGTGGAGGTGCTGGGTCTATTTATAGACGCGGGAATCATACGGGATATGGTCTGTAGATATCGTTCCCTATCGGACGTCGACGGGCTAAAAAAAACATTTGTCATCTCATAGAAAGTCGATAAATGGTCCACCTAACTACCAACCCCCGCTAACGAACCAGAACCGTTTTACTCATTTTGAAAATGCCATTCGATAGATCGTCGAAAAATATACTCAGAGTTTTCCATAAAGCCCAAAAAACTCATATTTAGAACTATCTTCACTTAACAGAAACCTCGATTTGCCCCGTTATTTTATTCCCGTAAAACCGACTTCTTGACCTGCTTCGCTGTAGCGCCCTGCCTTAGGCTCTGCGCTAGAGCCCCTACCGTGTTTGGCAATGATGGTATTCTGAAAAAAATCGTAAAATCGATCAATAATCAAATATATAAAAATAACATTTTAAAAATTCAATGAATCAAATAAAAATTAAATGAAACTAAAACCCACGTGTCCACAAACTGCTGGAAAGCCGCCGTGGAGCTCGAGCCGGCGGGCTGCATTCCAGGGGGGAGCGGGGCTCGGCCGGGCGGCTTCTTGAATGGAGGACGGCTAGAAAAAAATAATTTTCATTTGAATTTTTCATTCAGTTAATTTAATTTTTAACTTAAAAAATACTAAAAAAGTAATTTCTAATCGAATAACGCCAAAAATCTACCCAGCCATTGGCGTGACCGCCTGTTGGACCTTCGGCTTCTGAATCTTCGGCTTTGTCGGGTTTGGAGGGGTCGCTTGGGCTGTAGATGTACTAGCGCCGCTAAATCGGAATAAATCAGAAAATCGCGCAACAAATCCCGAACCTATTCCTGGCAAAGATTCCCGAGGCCTGGCCGTTGCCCTGTGTCGTTGATGTAGTCGCGCGGAAAGTGGATCCATTCGCGGTAGAGGCCGACGACGAGCTCGTCTAAACAATAAAATAACTGGCGCTTTCGCAATATCAGGAGAAAGTTTTTTTTCGTTTTAATAACAAAGACTTTAACATTCCTTAACATACAAAACCATTAACAAAATTTCCCTAAATTTCAAGTGAAAAACCCTTTCGAAAAATTAAAATTACAAAAATGCTTAAAATTACATATCATGGTCGAAAATGGGGTAAAGTCACTACCCCGAAAAGTCACTACCCCGAAAGTCACTACCCCGAAAAGTCACTACCCCGAAATAATTTGCATGATTTTCATAGGAAAACCGCATGAAAACTGGATTTTTCCGGGAAAAACAATGCTATCATTTTTCGGGGTAGTGACTTTCGGGGAAGTGACTTTTCGGGGTAGTGACTTTTCGGGGTAGTGACTTTTCGGGGTAATGACTTTTCGGGGTAGTGACTTTTCGGGGTAATGACTTTTCGGGGTAGTGACTTTCGGGGTAGTGACTTTCGGGGTAGTGACTTTTCGGGGTAGTGACCGGACGCCGTCGAAAATATATTTTTAATAGATTTAATGAAAAGGATTTTAATAGAATTTAGATTTGACAAAATATTTGCTACGAAGAAAACCATGGTCTGAAAAATTCCGAATTTTAAAAAATCCAAATTTAGGTCGAAAACCGCGAATTTTGTCCAAAAATTTATATTTTTTAACCCTTCCAAAGTTTTTTTTCATAAATATTGAGAAAGTTATTACGTTTAGCAATAAAGGAGTAAATCACTCACGGTCTTCGTAGAGGTTGACGCGCCGCCGGCAAGCCGTTCGGCTATCTTCGCGGACGCTTGCTGAGAAATTACACTGTCAAAGTTGTATCAAAACAGAATTACCTGCAAAGCGGCAAACTTCGTCTCGGGTGACTTCATTTTATACATTTCACTCGTCAGGAAAAGTCGGACGCCTGCTGCCTCCTTGGGGTGGTCTTGCTGCAGCTTCAGGAAATTTTCACTGTTGAAGAAGAAGCTCTCCGCTTGTTCGATCAACTTGGAGTTGATGCGAGGCTTGTCCGTCGCGCTTTTGCCGGTTGGCGCGGATGCGGGCTTGGGCTTTGAAGTTTGCGTCTGCGGTACGATCGGCTTGTTGATGGAGGAGGTTGGTGGTGCCTACAAAATAAAAATCAAGCCGTAAAAAAGCCAAAAAATTGGTTCTTTGGCATTATCGAGGGGGAAGAAGCGGACTTATCTTAGAAGTCGAGGTATGCCTATTCAAGCAATAACTAGTATTTTAATAGTGTTTTTAGCAGAATTAAACCATATTTCAAAGCGGAAAAGTTTTGTAAAAAACGTCGAAAATCGCCTATATTTTTATAGTAAACAAAATAAAAAAGCAAATCAATCCATCCATCAAAAATTCTTACCCGGGAGCCTCCAGCAGCAGCTGAGCTCGTGGAGCCATTCGTCGCAGATGGATTCGCAGACTTGCTGACCGGCTGGGTGGTGCTGCTCTCTCGGACGGGAGGCTTGGCCTTTGGAGGAACTTGCGGAGACTCTGGACCGAAATTCTCGGCCCACACCTTCAGCGCCAAGTCCAGAGGTGTGCCTATGGCCCTAGCCTGAAAAGAATCAGAGCTGTGCGAATCCAGAACCTTGAGCTGTAACTGACACCCTTAAGATATTTTTCGAAGCTCAATAAAACCTCTTGAATCAGTTCCGAAAACCATAGCAATCTTAAAAAATCTAGCACAATAAACCCCCCCGCTAACGAAACAGCACCTTTTCCAATGCCCATGAGAATTATATCCTACCTTATATAATTTTGGCGTGTAACTGTGTGTGTGTGTGTGCGGATGTCACTTTCGAGGCCCGATTTGAGGGCCTTCCTGTGCATAAAACGCTCTGATCCTCCGTCACTCGAAGGAATCGACCCTTCTGTTTCCGATGGCGTTCTCAGAATTTTGGTAAAGTACAAGTTTACAAAGTTAAAGCCGGTTTTATTCATTTTTGGGGGTACCTGAGGGCTAATTTGCATAATGTGAAAAAATACAAATTTCCTCATTCTTGGCAGTTGCACTCGCGAGTGTGGTCGGGGGTGGAGGGGTCCGCAGGACCCGAGCTATCAGAAAGCCAAACTTTTCATGCAAAGGCCGCATTCCAGCGCCCAAGGGCCGCGAAGCGGGTTTTGGGCGCTGGTTTGCAAAATAAGTTGACTACAGCAAAAAAACCAACAAACCTGCTGCAACTTGGCCCATTCTTCCGTTGAAGGCCGTGGGTTGAAGTCATCGATCTTCCAGGGCAGCTCGACATTTCCGGACCCGATAGGCGTGCGGGGCCGCGACGGCGGCTTCACCGCGGCCGATATCGCGCGCACAGGCAGTGGCTTGGCCGCCGAGGTGGACGGCTGCTGCTTGGCTTGGATCGTCTTGTCGCACATGGCCAGCAAGGCGCTTGAGCTGGTGGCGGTGGCGTCAGCGAGGAGGGTGGCACTGGTAGATGCGCTAGCACTCGATGATGTGGATGGTTGGCTCCTGAAATAGCGTATTGAAAGGGGACGACATTTCAGAATGCCGAACGATCAGAATATTCGAAACTAAGGCTATCAATTTTCATAATTGCGTAATGTCGGCATTTCATAAAGTCGAAATTTGAGAATCTCGAGATTTCATAATGCGGGAATTTATAATTCTAATTTTTTGGATAGCGTTTGGCGGAATCTCCGGGAAATTTGCCGATGCAAAATTTCGGCATTCTGAAATTCGGCAATCTGATTTGTCGAGATTATGAATTTAAAAACCATGAAATTCGACATTTTGAAAGTAAGAAAAAACTGACCCTGACGACGGCTGGAAGCCGTTGAGATGCGCTTCGGCAAGCAGCATCACCTGATCCTCGTAGGCGACCCGCTTGGTGGGCGGCGCATACGAAGCCGGATAAGCTGCGCGGGCCCTTCGTGCTGCTTTGGCGAGGGCTTGTCGTTTCTAAAAGGGGAAAATAAATAAATAAAAATAAAAAAGAGCTGAATGCCACAAAAGGGTGTATTTTATCTTTTAAAGTAATCTGTATTTTCGTTTTGTGTATTTTTACAAATTAGCATAGGTCGGCCGGACACTACGCTGGATCGAGAAACGCATTTTTTTGGGGGAAAAAACGGCTAGTAAAGCCGACTAATAGAGACAATACAATTTAAGAATTCATCGATTTCTTGAATTTCGAAACATTGTTTCTTTGAGCAAAAAGCTACCTCCTTCTCCCGTTGCGCAGCGGCGCGGTTGACCGTGTCTCTAAGATACGCCTCGATGGAGCCAAATTCCTCCTTGATCAAGTCCATGACGCGGTTGTACATCCACGGTACGACCTTGGCTTTGCTTTTCGAAACGACCCTAAATTCAGAATGAAGTTGAATCTAATTTTTTATTCACATTTTTTGAATTCAGTAAATTCAAAACGAAGAAGAAGAAGCTAAACCTGACTCAGGCGAATTCACAATTATGAAAATTAGAACTCAAAAAAAAAAGAAATTTATGAATTTGTAGTTTTGCAGTTGAAGGTAAAAAAACATTAGTAGAATTTCGTTTTTTCTTCTTTTTAGTTCTACAGTATTAGAATTCAGGAAATAAACTACATACCCGTCGAGCGCGTCGCACAGCCCTGCAACTGACAATCTCATTGATTTGCTCCACGATGGTCGCGACGTCGGGTCGTCGATCAGCTTATCGAAGGCTTTCCGAAGCGAGAGCCAGCCGCGGGCCAACAAACGCTGCTGGTCGCGGCGAGTCAGGCATTCGCTGGAATTGAAATTGTTGATGAAGGACATCCAGGGCCGAAGCTTACCTATCCTCATCGACAGCCGTCAATTTCAGCAACGCCTTGCACGTCGCAACGATGCGCACGTGATCGCATGAGGCCTCGCTGATGCGGAACGACAGCCTGAAAGCAACAAAATAGAAAGAAATTCTAAACAGTCCTACTTGACGGCCCGAGCGACGTGGTAGCAGAACGAGCCCGAGCGAGAGATTTCCTTGTCGGAGATGTCGGTCGCCGTCTAAATGGAAATATTGCTGACGTGGCAATGAAATCAAAGAATGGTTAGTTCCAAAAAGTCGAAAACATAATGCCGACATTTCAGAATGTCGATATTTCATAATGCCGAAATTCAGAATATCGACATTTCGACAATTAAAGAAGGCCAAGCTCACCTCCAAGAAGTTGACCTCCTTGTTGCCGGTCGGCCTCTTGAAGACGCCGTTGAAGATGCGGTTCTCGGCCACGGATCGATTGCCCCGCTCCAGGCTCATCTCCGCCAGCCGGTAGTTGGCCTTCAGGTGGGCGAAGCGCTCCGTGCAAACCTAGAATTGAATATTGGAAGTAGATGATCATCGAGTCACCTCGAATCCAGACCAGCACAAGTTCCAGAGCTCGTGGGTGAGCTCGACAGTGGACAGCATTCCATCGACGACCGAGCCGATGACGTCGGTACTAAAAAATTATGATTGGCATATTTTGTTAGATAAATGGTCTTTGGCATTATCAGGGGGGTGGGCATAACCGTATTTTTTTCCAGAAAAAAAATAGTTAAAAAGTAAAGATAAAAATGTTCATTTTCTTTTCCCTATTTACTCCCTATTTAAAAATAAAAAGATAAAATTAAAAACCCGGAATCCTGGTCGAAAAATATATATTGTTAATCAATTTTTCAACGCATTTTTGGGTTTAAGAACGGAAAAAATGTGTTTCCCTCCCCCGATAATGCCAAAGGACCGCAAAATCCAATGATATTAATTTTTTTTGCCATTCATACCTTTCTTCTTGGGCACCAACTTTGTCGATCATCCCATGGACGAGCAGCTGCAGATCGACGCCGACAGCAAAGAGGGTGGGCGTGGAGCCGCGGCAGACGCCATGGTTCTGAATGGCGCGAAGGTAGGCGAGGCAATGGATGAGGTTCTCCCGCGTGTAGACTTTCCTAAAAAATCAATTTTAATTTTACAATATAAGAAATAAGTTTTTCACGGCCGGAAAATAAAAATAACAAATTACACCTCACCCTTTCAAATACTTCCAGACAAACGAGTGCATATGGTAGTGCACTTCGACGGGCTCGATGTTGCGCTGGTGTTTGATGGATATCTTGGCCGGGTAGTGGGAGCCGCTCAACTGCAGGGCACACGCCGATTCGTAGATTGAGTCGAGGACCTAGAGAGAAATAGAGAAATGTTTCCGCTTATGCTTTTGAAAATGTCAAAAACCAAATTTTTTGACATGTAATTTCGAATTTTCCCGAAAATTTAGGTTTCAGTAAAAAAAAACTTCAAACACATACCTTCGGCAGGTTATTCTGACGATCAGTCTTCCAGGCGAGCTTCGCTTGCAGGAGAAAGGCCACCCAGAGGAAGGTGTCGCGCTGGTGTGAGGGTAGGTCAGTGGCTTGCTCCAGGGCCAGCACGGCTTCTTCCCGAATTTGCACGACGTCCCGTAGACAATTTCGGCGGGTGTCTGTGGATTTCGTCTGAAAGCAGTAAAATTCAATTCAAAATGCAAAAAAATGCTAGTTTTTTTATATTTTTTAACGTTTTTAATAAAATTGAGCTGCATTTACACCGAAAAAACCTATTCAGAAGGCTTAAAAAAATATGGCAATTTCAATGTAAAAATTTTTCTTTGAAAAATTGACGTTTAAAAAGGGTGAGAAGACCTGAGAAATGTTCCTCTAGATCTGTCAAAAAATGGATCCTTATAAAAAAAATTCTGATTCCCCTCCAACTTCACTAACCGAGCGAGCCAGCCTGCCAAATCGAGATGCCAATTGGTAGAGCGAGAGCGCGTGTAGGAACGGCGTCGTGCCGTCCTCGTTCTTCGCCCTGAGAAAAAATTAGACTAAAACTATCATAAACTAATTAAAATCCTACTATATATAAAAAAATAGTGTGTGTGTGTGTCTGTGTAGATTTGCATCCACTTCCGGATGTATGTTCCGCTCATAACGGGTCAGGGAAGAGTTTTCGGACATGTTTGATACGTCATTTGATGCGTAATGGAGTGGAGATGACTGCCGCCTTATTAGATTTTCCAAATTTACTATTTTCGACATTAAATTTAGGTTTTTATGAAAGGACCTTTGTTAGGCAAAATTTGCATGCGCCGGAAGTGGATATTGCCTATAAAATCAGGCTGCAGAGGAGATTTCTCATTTTTGTCGGCGGGATTTGGGCAGAATATGCAAAGTATTTTTGTGATCGTACCTAGACGAGGCCCAGGGGTGAAAAGCCGCGGAGCGGCTTTTCAACCCTGGTCAATAACTAATGAAAAAGCGAACACTCACTTCTTGGCCAACCGCCAGGGCAGCAACATGTAGCGCCAATTCTCGAGCTTGGCCCGGTCGTCGAGCCTGAACAGCTGGGCGACCAGCGTGTGCGCCAGCACCGACCAGGCGCCGTGGATCACGTGCGGGTGGGCGGTGTGGCCGGACGACGTCAGGAACAGGGTCATCCACTTGGCTGCCTGGTCGTTGTGGTCGTCGTCGTTGAGCCTAAGGAAGGGCATTAAACATTGAACATTTCCAAATTACTTGTAATGGTGCAGGCCCAGCGTGTAGTAGATGGACGACATGAAGGGTGAGCGCTCGATCATTGGCTGAGTTTCACTAAAAAAAAGAGTTCCAAAATTAAATTTCTTCTTACGAGAGCTCGGCCACCTTCAGCCACGCGTCAAAGTTCGTCACCACGTCCCGTTGCTCTTCCGAAATCGACATGAGCTCCGGGAAACGCTGCGTGATGAGGTCGATGACGTCGTGGCCGAGTTTTTCCTGAAATTAAAAGTAGTGAATTGCTGAAAAATATTTCAAAGTCAAGTTTTCCAAATTCCAAATTCATTTTTTCAAATTTCAAAAATCAACAATAAAAAATTTGCAGTCGAGAATACTAGAAAAAAAGCCAGAAAAGAAACTGAAGATCGCAGACTTTCGAAAAAAAATTTCCAAAATTGATTATCAAAATCTAATTTTGAAATATCAGGAATTTTCATGAAAAGCCTCTCACCGCATCATCATAATCAGGCAGTGGATACGGCAACGCAAGGCCGATGGCCGCCTCCAAGATGTCCGCCTTCGCCTTGTCCTCCCATTTCGGCGGCTGCCCGTGCTCGTCCAAATTCTTGCGCTTTTTCGTGTACCGTCCAAAAGCGCAGTGGAGCAGCTGGGCGGTCTCTTGGTGCACGTTGGTGCGCATCCACTTGTTCCGGTCGTCCTGGAAAAAAATTAATAATCAAGGAAAAAGACTGGAGTTCATACCAGGAGCAGCTCTCGGATGCCGGGCACGGACAGCGCCGACCACAGCTCGTTCATGTAGAAGCCGAGGAATTCGCCCTAAATGGGGGAATTAAAGTTAAACTTTCGTTTAACTTTTTTTACAAAACGAAAGATATGGAATTTCCGAGAAGCTATTGACGTTTTTTTTTAATGAAAAAAAGGCCCGAAAAATTTTAAAACGACATCTATTTAAATTTGAAGCTACAAAATGTAGTGGTATTAATTGTTATTCTTGGAAATATTTTACATAAAAGTTTGCAATTAATCGAATTTTTTCAAAAATACCTTATTCTGCGAGCAGCACTGGTTGTCGCCCAGCTTCTCGTGCGCCTTCACCAAGACGGACAGGGCATTTGACGGCACCTCGTCCATACCAGCCCCGTTTTCGAGCATTTTTGAGACGATGGGCACGGTGACGGGGCCTGAAAAAAACAATAATTAAGAAGATTTTAGGCAGTATTTTTCAGTATCGTTAATTAAAACAAACCTTCAATCGCGCGCGCAATCGTGTACATCAACTTCCACAGCGGCCACCAACCGACAATCTCTTTGCACTGAAATTAGGATAATCAGAAAATTTATTTTTTTTGTTCAAAGACAATTTTAAAATTTAAATGGAAACGTTCTAAAAATTAATAAGAATAAAATAATAAAAAAAATAAAATAAATAAAATACCTCGATCAGCTTCGACAGCTCGTAACCCAGGGCAGCTTTTGTATCCACCGACACGTGGTCCCACTCGATCGTCTCCAGATCGAAGACGAGCTCGCGGAGCTTGGAGGAGAGTAGTGGCTCGACGCTTCGGTGGAGGGCAAAGATTCTAAATCAGAGAATTTTTAAAATTTTATTATTTCGCACCTTGTAGCCAAATGGACGGCTTCTTCATCTTGATGCAGCGTACGTAACGATTCCATCCACATTTCGCTGAGGTAGAAGATGTCGTCGAGCTCGAGGTGGGAGAAGTCGACGTCTTTCGAGATTACGGATACAATCTGGAAAAAGGAATTAAACATTTTTTGATTTAACTTAATTTAACTTATGATTTTTACTTCTAAAATTTTAAAAAGTGGTGTTTTTGCAAGATCGGCACCACATTTTTTTTCTTATTTCAGAAATGACTAGCAATTTCATAGAATTTAATCGTGGTTTTTAGAAAATTTACGCATACTTCAAGTGCGAAAAAACCGTCGAAAAAAGCAAGAAAATTGTTTGACAGTCGAAAAATCTATCTTTTTGTGTGTTTTTTTTTCTATGAAAAGTTCGGAATTTCTATGTTTGAAATAGCGTGATAGCTTTTCCCATAAGTTTTAAAAAGTCAGATCTAAAGTTTATCATCCAGAAAAAGTATATTTTGATACCTTCTCGTGCTCGCCAGCCTGCTTCAACGACTGCAGCGAGTTGCACCGATTTGTTCGCTCGACAGCCTCTTTCGTGGCGACGACGTCGGAGAGGTGGAAGCCGCCTAAAATGAGGAAATTCAGAAAATCCACGATTCCACTCACGATCCGCCGTTCCGATGTACAAATCCGAAGGCAGGTGCTGCTCCAGGTCGGCCAACTTTTTGAGGCGTTCCTAAGAATACAATTCCGCTTCAAGAAACAAATATTCCAACCTGTTCGCTGCCGAATTTGGCCGTTTGCCAGGCAAACCGGAAGGCTAGGGTGGGGTCGCGCCAGGCGTTATTGCTCAAATCGTACGTCACGCAGTAGCGCTCGGCCTCGGGTTCGCCTAATAGAAAAATGAATAAATTTTGCGGAACATTAATTACCAAGCTCGAAGAAGAGGACGTGAATCGGCAGCCATTCTTCGCCGTCGAAAGTCGAGGACATTGCCGTGAAGCGCCTAAAAATATTCCGATTCGCTACCAGCATAATATTTACCTTAACAGCATTTTATTAAAATTCTAAGGGTTCTGAACGGATAAATTATCCATTAAACTCCAACAATTTTTTAGTTGCGTTGTGCATTACATTTTGGTTAAAAATTTTTTATCTTTGCAGCTAAAAGCAAAATGCTGAAGTTTTTCACGTCTCGGAAAAGTAAAAAAAGTGTGGTAACAGTACTTCTATCTGAATTACTAACCTTGGCAGCTAAAAAACATTCAGGCCCCACCCCCGATAAGAACAAGTACCGAATTGCCTACCGATAACACTGAATCCAGACGACCCGATTGTCCTTATCGATGAAGCCCTCGTCCGGGCAGATTTCCGTCAGACAGCGCAGCGACTTGGCTAAACAATGTTTTTATTCCAATCAACGCAGCTAAAAAGGTATAATTGATCGCTTTTTTAAACGCAAAAAAAAACGTTTTTCTGACCTAGATATTCGAAAATCGTGTGCCCAGCTGGGTCGGCTGAAAGACGCAGGCGAATCTTTTCCAGCAACCGATCATCTTCGAATGGGCGGAGCTCATCTAAAAGACACAAAAGTTTATAAATGGTGAATATAACTTACGTGGTGTCGGGGTTCTGGAGTGACGACGCTGCAGGGTACGACGCAGCGGCCGGAAGTGACCCCAGTAGAAGCCGACGGCCGATGGGAACTGAAAGATAATTTAGTTTTTGAAAATAACATGATTTATTCTTGTTTTTTTTTCTTTTCTTTGCCTGGTCAGCTTAAAAAACGTAGATTTAAATTGTACACTAAATCCCTACCATCTCTGGGTCCTCCTCGCTTTCCTCCTCCTCTTCTTCACCACTTTTTTCAGCCGCTTCCTCACCATCCGAATTGGCGTCCCGGGGTCTTTTCTGTCGGCGAATCCGCTGCTGCCGCATCATTTTCAACGGGCTGGCGTATTCCGGCTTTTTCGGGCTTGTGTGGGGCGTCGCTTGGTCTTGCCGGTTTTCCACCTAAAGCAAAGAATCAAGATATGGATTCCAAAATTAAGATACCTCCTCGACAGCGTCATCCAGGCATTCAATCGTGTCCAAAATCGACTCGACGACATCAAGAACATCTCCTTTCAGCGTGCATGGCCACCACGGGCGGAGAAGAATCTTTTGCGTGCTCAACTAAAATATTTTTTCTATGAATTATAAATTTTAATAAAAATTTGGTCAATTATTAGTGAAAAAACATTTATTCTTATTCGAATGCTGCTTTAATTTTAAGCGTTTTTTTATCAAATTTTAAGCTACAACTCACCGATGATCGATCCTCGATTCGATCGAAGAGATCACAGAAGAGCGTCAACACACCGGAAAGCCTCAAAAAAGACAATTAATTTTTGTAGAGAATTCTTACGTCATATCCTCGTCAACGTCCAGCTGAATCAGCTCCGGGTGAAGCGACTCCTCATGTGACGTTGAAGCCTTCGCGTCGGAGAGCCGCAATTTCGCACGAAGGTTCTCGAGACGCTGCTCCATCTAAATTGCCAAGATAAAGTGCTTTTAATAGAACAAAACCTCGAGAAAAGACTCTTCGTCGCTCTCCGACGGGCTGAGGTCCGAGATTTCGAATCGTTCCCTAAAAAGCGATTAAAAAAGCTTTTTATATGAAACCTCATGGCGGGATCGGCTTGGAGAATTTTCCTTTGAATGAAGCGGGCTTTCTTGTGGCGCGGGTCGTGCTCCCGAAGCTCTTCGCACATCTCCAGACAAGCTGAAATCGAAATTTATTTCTGTCCACCGAAAATTCATCAAAAATTCCATATTTATATTTCTAAAGCCAAACTCACATCCATAGTTTCCTAGAAGAAAATCGGTGCTGAGAAGCGCGTCGATGCCCTCCCGGGATGACGTCTAAAAATTGGGATTCAGAAGTTTCTCGCAAAATCTTACCTTTTCAAACGCCTCGCGCGCCAATTCGAGGTCACCGATCTCGATTCGCTGCATTCCGACCGAAAACCAACGGCGCCCGTCGAGTGGCACGATTTTTAGAAGCTAAACAACAATAAAATCGCCATTAAAAAATCTCACCGCCAAATTGTAATCCAAGGCGCGGGCCGGGTCCAAATGCACCATTTTGCGGACGATCTCCATGTAGACGTGCAGCGTTTTCGGGGCGCTAAAATGTACATGGTTTCCTTTTTGGCCAAAAACCCACATTCCATCACGGAACAATTCTCGGTCACGCTCCCAATTGTGGCTCGGATCGGTGTAAGCGACAATCTGCGGGTATTTGAGGCATTTCTAAAAAAAAAAACGATTGAAAAAGTGATACATTACAAACCCTATAGCAATGGCGGGCTGTTTTTCTTCTTCCAGCCTTGAAAAAAGCTTCCGCTTTTGCGAACAGCTTCAGGCAGTTGGCTTCCTAAAACAGTGAGTGCTCGAAAAATATTTCTAGTATACCTCGGCCTCAGCACGGCCCCTTTTCGCCTGCTCCTCTGGCGTCTCGACACCCCAAACGCTGCCAAGGTCGACGGGATTGATGAGGATTTGAGGCTCGTCATCTTCCTCCTCTTCGTCCTCGTCCTCCTCATCCTCATCTTCTTCATCCTCGTCCTCCTGCTCCTCGTCTTCGCCCTCTTCGTCATTCTGATCGGAATCCTCGTCGTCTTCTTCGGAACCGTCCTCATCTTCGAGGTCCTCTTCGGCAGCATCGTTTTTGTCAACCTCCATTTCTTCGTCCTGGAATTTTTAAGGGCATAAAGATACTATTCAAGATAGTTTTATCATTATATTTATTCAGATCCGCCATACCTCTTCGCCGGAAGAAGATGGCTGATCTCCCGGTCCATTTTCCTTATCTGCCGGCTCGTTTGCGATATTTTGAATCCGTTTCTCCCCATCCTGACTTCCCGAATTCTCTTTGTCCTCATCATTATCCAAATCACTGATGCTGCAAAAACTATATTTAGCGCAAAAAAATTAGTACCTGATTCTAGCGTCAAGCATCGGTTTTGCGATCTCGGATGTGCTGGGGCGCACATCCTCCATCATACCTGAAATTCAAGAATCGGTTATTGTGTCCAGTTTCAGCAAGAAATATAGGAAGGGAGTTTATTCTAAATAAAATTGTCTTCCCGGAACAATTTTTTAAATGTGGGCTGTTCAGAAACAGAGGGCTCGCACGGTTGATTTGGGCATCGGAGCAGCTCGGACAGAGACCTAGTAGTCCTTTTTGCAGTGGCAATCGCCATTCGGCGCGAAAACGCAGTTGGCCTTATCTTTCCAAATCCAAAAAATGGAAATTTTTGCCTTAAGGCAGATCCGACAAACAGGGAAAATGGGAGCTTTATTCTATTTCCGTGATCCGCTCTTATGAATCCAAATCGTCTTCCGCTCTTCATAATTTAGGCAAAACCGCTCGGAAATGTATCCGAAAATGCTTCATGTCAACAAAATTAAATGTGCTACGATTTATTTCGGACGTAATGGAAAGGATATTTCACCAATGCAAACGAAAAGAACAACGGTATTCGGAAACTGTAAATTTTACACATCAAAAATCTACGGGGAAAGAACGTCATGAGAAAGCGGAAACGGGATAACACAAAAACGAGGCGTTCAAGAGGGGATAATTCCCGAAAATTGATTAAAGGCCATTGTCGTACTCCATCTTCACGTCGACCATTCGAATTTGGCGCGGCGGGCTGTCTGAAAAAAAATCGATAAATTTTGATTACAAAGATCGGACGCGGAGTTTTAATAGAAAAACCCAGCCAGGTGTAAAACAATCGATAAAAACGCGAACGAACCTTCTTCACCATCCGACACAACCTCTTGTTTGACCGACGATGCCCTCTTCAAACCGCCTGAGCACAAAATATATTCGGAAATCGATACAAACCGCTCTTGGTGACGCGGTGCTCTCGTTCCGGCTGCTTGGCCACGTCTTTGGGGGGATTCGGAGGAAGAGGAATGTCTAAAATAAAAATAAAATTATAAAAATTGGTAAAAAAGTACCTTCAATAGCCGTCGGGAAAAAGGAGTCGTCTACGGCCACAGTTTTCGTCAAGCATGGAACGGTTGCTAAATGAAATGAGTTGTAAATAGGAACAGCAAAAGCTACCCGGTGACACAGCTCGGTCTTCCTCGTTGCTCGGGGTGCCCTCGCGGGAAGCAGCGGCAACTAAAAAAATGTTTTTCAAAGGTGTCGAAATCGAAGAAGCCCGACTGGAATTCCAGCTGCTTTACAAATATTAGGTCAAAAATATGTGTTTTTTTATTATGAAAATGACAGGAAATTTGATTAAAAATGAAAAATTCTTTAAATTTTTCGTAAGCAAATTTGACAAGAGTGCAAAAATGGATTCATAAGTCCAAGTTTTCACGCCACAGGTTTCAACAGCCGACTCACCCTGTCCCGATTCATTCCTCGTACGTCGACAGTGCGAATCCCACCAGCATGGCCCATAGCCGATGTGGCCTACCAGCAACCTCTTCACTTCCTTTCGAATTTTCGGCGAGAGTTCGGCCCGCATCATGTTGTCGACCCTGAAAAAAAAGATAATTGTACAAAAATAGTATTTCTCACTTCAGAACCAGTTCAAATTCGCCGGCGGTCAGCTTGGCGCGTGGGCGGTCGGCAAAGGTCTAAAAAAGCTAGTTATAGGTTTGGAAAGCCCGTACCTCCAAATACTGGCAGATCAACTCCTTGAACTCAGTACTGGGCGGTGTCTTGAAGTCGAATTCGTTCTCGACCACGGGCCAACTCGTCGGCATGCACACATCTTTTGCAGGGGCGCGTTTCTAAAAATCACGATCATGTAAAAATGATCAAAAAACAAGTAAAACTAGCCTCTAAACAGCTGGCTTTATAAAAATATACCTGCAACGGTCCAAAGCCGTCAGAAAGACGACGACGCAAGGTCGGCACCGTCGCAGCATGCTCAACAGCGGGCTTGCGCAAGGCGGATGGACGCTTTTCGGGTTTCTCGGGCTTCTCGGGTTCCTCAGCTTCTTCCTCGTGTCCAGGGAGCGTGGTCAGCTGCAGGACTTCGCCATAACTATAAAAAATATTGCAATACTCATGAAAGCACTCACTTAGCAATGAAAAAGCCCCGTTGCACCGTGTCGACACCGGGCTTGACGCAGTAGCCGGGCTGAAACAGAAAAAACATCATCTCTGGGGACAAAAACAAACGTTTTGACAAAGTTTTTAAAGAAGGTTTTTCATTAAAAACTAGCTGTAAAATTTCCACACCTTCTCGCCGTCGTCCAGAAACCCGTCCTCATCTTCATATTGATACTTGGCATCTTCAACGTAGTCGTAGTCGAGGAGTTGGGATGACTAAACAAAAGTAATCGTGAAAAAAGGCTAAAAATACCGGAGTTAGCCGACAGGCCTCTTCGAAGACTTTCTGGGCGGCTGGCTTGTCGAGCTCGCTGGCGCGTTCGACGTCCTTCTGATGTGAAAGTGTATGACAACTAGGCAACAATTACCTGAAGCGCCAAAAGTTCCTGGAAGTTGACCTGCGGGTAGGCGGATTCCGTCGGCTTGAACAGTGTGATCTCGATGCAGGTCGACTTTCCGTAGTCTTCGCTGCGGCGCTTCCTAAAATGGAGATATAAAGGGAATGAAAAGTAATATACCTTTTGAGTAGAGCTTCTTCCATCTCTTCGGTGTGTGAGATGGAGGAGCCTAAATGTATTTTTTGGACTTGTATTTACGATAGAGATTTTGACGAATGAATAAGTCAGGATGGCCCGTTCAAAGCAATTTTATCCAAATAAAAAGTTTAAAAATAGAGGAGCAAAGCAAACTAAATAAATTAGAAAAAAAGCGAGAAATCGAGAAAAAGTAGAAAAATTGTTTTCGGTGAAATTTGCTCCGTTGCGCTCCGAATCCGTAAGTTGGTCTGCCACGGAACGGTTGCACCATACGGTAGCGCAATGCTTGCGGCGGCATTTTCGATTTTCATGAGATTTTCGGGATTTCGCCCACGTCGTCTTTTTGAAGTTCTTTCTTTCGTTTTTATTGTTCTTTTTTCGCTTGCTCGGAAACAAATAATTTTTCAGCCTCACGATGCTGTTGGGGATCCCGTTCCTCGACAAGCTCCAGAACAAGTTCAAGAGCCAGGTGCTCGACGATGGCGTCGATCGGCTTAATTACAGGACGGCCGCCCTCATAGTCCTCTTCTTCGCCCTGATGGTCTCGGCCAAACAGTGAGGATATCGTTTCCCTATATTTTCTCTTTTTTTTTAGGTACACCGGGAAGCCCATCCAATGTTGGACGCCCTCCGAGTTCAACGGCGCTTGGGTCGACTACGCGCATGACTACTGCTTCACCGCCGACACGTACTTTGTCAAGGACAATGAAACGGACAGCCTGGACAGCGCGGATCGTGGAAAGGTAAGCTTGAATCTCTAAATTTATCGAGTTTGTTTAGGATAGCCGAATTTCCTATTACCAATGGGTGCCCCTGCTGCTGGCCATCCAAGCGCTGTGCTTCTATTTGCCGAATTGGTTGTGGAAAACGACAACTTCCTACTTCGGTACGATTTCTCCGACTTCGTTTACTTTTCTTTAGGCATCGATCTCGAACACTGCGTGACGGCCGCTGTCAAAGCCAGGACCGCGAACTCGGAGAAGCGCCAGAAGGAGGTATCCTTTTTCCCTTCGGAAAACATAACTATTTTTTATAGTTGGGCGATGTCTCGATCACGCTTGCCGAGGCCCTTGGTCTGCAGGACTACAGCAAGTTCAGGCGCCGCGATCGCTCCTTCAAATTTGGGTAAAAAGCCTCATTCTTTCGATAATGGTTTTTAGGGCTGACTACCTGTCGAACTCGTTGACGTCATTCTACATTTTCATCAAGGCCCTCTACGTCGTCAACCTGATCTGCCAGATTCACGTCATCAGCGCCTTCCTCAGCAGCGACCATGTTTTCTGGGGATTCAGCGTAATTTTTTTCTTTGCTGACTTTGTACCTCCGTTTAGACGCTGGCCAACCTCGTCCAAGGCCTCGAATGGGAGACCACCGGCTTGTTCCCGCGTGTGACCTTCTGCGATTTCTACATCCACACTCACCACTCCCTCGCCAACTACACGGTTCAATGTGTGCTGATGATCAACATGTTCAACGAGAAGATCTTCCTCTTCCTGTGGTTCCTCTTCATGCTGATGCTTATCGTCACCTCGATCAACGCCGTGGCCACCGTGTTCAGCTACACCGTGGATCGGTGCCGCGAGAAATCTGTTTACAAGTAACTTATCATTTTTGGCCAAAATTTCTCTTTAGGTGGCTCAAGCACGCGCCCGAATTCGACCCCATCCACCTGTCGCGTTTCAGCAAGGATGTGCTCAAAGCTGGTATATTGATTTTTAAAGTGAAAAATCTCTGTTGCAGATGGATGTCTTGTTCTGCGCTTTATCGAGGACCACGCTGGGCTCGCTGTCGCACGGGATGTCGCCTCGAAACTGTATAAACTTGATTTTGAACTTGAAACAAGACCTTTTAGGTGGTCCGAATGGATTTCCGAGACGGGCGATTCGACAATGCTCAGCCTGAAGCACCGTAAACCCTCCGACCAGTATCAAATGAATTCGATGGAAAACAACCTTCTTCATAAGGTATTTTTTGGTTTTAGAAAATCATAGCCTTGTTTAGCAGTCGGCTGGCACCGGTCTTTGCCCCTACACCGCCGACATGCTTTCGAAGAAGCACCTTGATGCCGCCAGCGAAAGCACCTTCTCGACTAGCCAAGAATCTGCATTGTGAGAAGGATGGGGAGCTTGTGATTATTCGACTTGATCATTTTACTTTCTGCATGCTTGTTTTATCTTGTCATTTTTGCATTTTCTGTGATTCGCAAATAAAGTTATTTAGTAAGGGGCTATGGTGAGGGCATGCATGTTGAATCCAATTTTCGAACATTGTCGTGTGGGAGATCGAGGGTTCTCATGCGCGCAACTTCATGGTGGACGTGTTTTCCCAGGTCCGATGTGTCACACGGCAATTGGCAGATGCACTGTTGTATTTATATGAACATTCGCTTATGGTATTTAAAGCTTGTTTGTCTCTTTTTCCATAGAAAAACTGGCGTGAGAACCGTGCGACATTTCGGCCTTTCACAGGGTGTAGGTAAAGGGCACTTGCCGTCGGTTAGTCATCTCGCCTTTGCCGTTTCGCCCTCCTTTCCCCTGTTCTCAAAGCATCGCTCGCTGCGGCTTAGCCAGGGAACTGTGAAATGGCTTCCTCGTTTGCCCACCATCACAACGCCGCTTTCAAAACATAGCGGGTTGTTGGGTCTCTGGGTCGTTTCATTGATTGCCTTTCAATCTGGATTTTCTTATTTTTATGTATTGGGCTTCATCAACAGAACTTTGTCAACTTTTCTTTTCCGAAGTATGAAGCTTTTTTTGCTTGTCCCTTGAAGTTCTTCCTCCTAATACCACGACAACAACATTTGCAGGCAGTTGACAGCTGCTCATCGCCTTTGCGATGGCCGGGGCCTCGGCATCCACCGAGCTGGAGTGCAGCGTGTGCTGCGAAGCCTGTGAGATTTCAAATTCCGAAAAAAACTTGCGCCTTAGATGATAGCCTCAAATATCGGCCGATGACGCTCAACTGCGGCCACACGTTTTGTGATGGATGTGTGCGGCGCCTCATGCCAAATGCGGCTCCAGACTTGTTTGACCTTTACTTAGTCTCAACTTCGTTTTCTAGGGGTTCTGCTTCCGCTGAACATCATGGGAAGTGCCCAAACTGTCGCGTGAAGGTCGTCAGCTCGGCCCCGAATTATACAGTGATCGGTTAGGAGGCTTTCTTTGCGTTGATGGAAGTTTAGGAATGCTCGACAAGCCGGCCGGCGGGAGCACATCGGAAAAGTCGAAGGCCAAGGTTTAGATTTCTCAATTGTTGATTTCACAATCTACTTAGGGAGAGATTGACGATACGCTCGAGCTGCTCCAAATCCAGTTGGCAACCCTGTTGAGCGCTAAAAAGCCCGCCGATGATTTTGAGGAGGTTTTGACGCTGCGTCCCTAGTGCTGCAACTTCTATTTTAGCGCACCGCGGAATTGCGCAGTCAGATCACCCAGCTGAAGCGGAAGCTCGAGAAGCAAGATCATGGCTCGGAATTGGCGGCTTTGCGGGCTCGAGTGGCCGAGATAGAGCGTGGTCAGGATCTTGGAAGGTAATGGGCGGCATTGTTATTTATTTTGATTCAGAGACCGCTGGCTCTCCGACAGCACCTCTGTTGATCGCTACCCCGATAGTGACGAGGATTCGGTTGCTAGTAGTGCTCTTATGGTAAGGTTTTAGCCAGATTCACAAAAAATTTTTGGCGGATTTTCTAAACAAAAATTTTAATCGCTTGACAGGGATAAATTAATTTAAATCAAAATTCAAAGACTATTTTAGGCCAGTGAAAACACGAGAACCGCCTTCATTCGGGGCCTACCCGAAGATGTCACTGAGAAGCAGATAAAGCATCTTGTTTCTATCATTCAGCCCGTTGGGGGAATGCTAAGGTAATTTCCAACAAAAATTCAAAGACCTTTGCCTTTTCCAGGATCAAGATGTATACGCCGCGCACGCTCGGCCACTGTCTGATCACCTTTGGAAGTACGGACTCATCTCGTGAAGTAAGAAAAATGGATAATTTCCACTGCTGTAATTATTCATTTTAGTTTATCGAAAAATACGACGGCGAATATTTCTTTGGAAGTGGCCGTCAGATGGTGATCTGCCATGGCATGTTCGGAGGCGAGCGCGTTTTGCCAAGCGGGATGGTGGCCGACCGAAAGAAGGTAAGAAATCGTTTTCCTTGAGTAGAAAATTCCCTCTGAGGTGTTCATTCGCGGACTGCCCCGCCATGCCGACGAGCACCTGGTCGCCAGCCGAATCTTCGGCTACCAGCCTCGGATCGCATTTTATGAGAAGTACGCTGATTTTCCTCAGACTTTTATGCGTGATTTAGGCTGTCGGTTCGTGTAAACGGGGCAACGGCCAGCTGCATTATCCAGTTCGACAATGCGGATAGCGCCCAGCGGGTCAGAAGATTTACCAACGTATATCGAAATCCGTACGCAAAAAATATTGCGCCGAAATTGCAAAATACCAAAATTCAATACAGATGGTTTCCATTATATCGAAAAACTACAACGATTTTTTTGGGACTTTTGCTATCTAAAATCACGATTAAAAATAATTTTTTGATAGTAAAATTTCTGTAAGAAACTTACAATACAATTTAGGTGGTTGATACATGGGATGGCAAAATATTCCCCGAGACTAGCTGCCGGCTTTCCGTCGATTTCTGGCGTTGTCCGGGCGGTGGTCAGCTTGAGCCGACGCGAAGCCCTTCGCGTGCAACTTCTCGCGCTTCGTCTCGCGCCGGGACTCCGACGTATCGCACCTACAACCGTACGATCCCTAGCGTAGTGCCTCCGATTCGAGACGGTGTGTTTTTGCGGTTCGGAAGAATATATCCAAAAATTTTTATTTAAACCATGTGATCAAAGCGAAATTCGCAGAAAAAATCAAATTGTAAAAATTAAAAATAAACAATTTTTCAGTTCCTTATTCACAGCAGTCGAGCCGTGCCTCGACCCCGGGCTTGGAAGCACCGTCTTCGCCAAAACGAGCTGCCCCGAAACCTAATGTCAAGAAACCGAAGCCGTACAAAGCCAAAGAACCAAATAACAACGCCGAGAGGACCGGAGAGCAGGTGCTGGCTTAATTCTACGTAATTACGTAACTTTACGTTTAGCCCGACAGCGCAAAGGTGGTCTACGTGCGAAATCTGCCCTTGTCGACGACCAACCTGGACTTGATCGCGCTCTTCCACGGGAAGGGCCGCATTGCTCAACGCAATGAACGGGCTTTGTACGTCTTATTTTATTTGAATTTTTTCTTGCGGCAGGTCTAATTTTTCCTTTTTTTTTGCCCTATGCCAACCTGGTAATGAAATTTTGTCGGGATTTTCCATGCATTTCTGACCAAAAATTTTTTAACTTCGGCAAGTTATAAATGTTATAAAAGCGTTATATGAAAACTTTTCTACAATCCAGAATTTAGAATCTGATGTAATGTACAAAATAGCTATATCAAAATATAGATAAAAATCTACCATTTTTTCAGAATCGACATATTCCCCGTGATCGGTTCTTACAAGCGCGCCAAGGTCGAGTTTGAGACCAGGGAAGAAGCGGATGCGGTGATCGCCGAGTTCCACGGCTCTAAATTCCCGCGCTCGGAGGTGGTGATGTCACTTGCTATCTGGTGGGCGCATTTTTAGATTGATTTTCTATGGGTTTTGTTTTAGGAAACCAAAGCCAGCCAACGATGGCAACACTTCAGTACAGCCAACGGTGCAGCCAGAGAGCCGTGTGGTCATCGTGAAGAACCTGCCGCGTCAGAAAAGCAAGAACGACCTGGTGGCGCTGTTCCACAGCCAAGGGAAGATCCAAATGGACCCGAAGGGCAATCCAAAGTATGTTTGGCATGGGTTTTTATCGGGACTGGAATTTCGGATTTCTTGGTTTAATTTTTTATTATAGGTCCAGAGATGCCTATTAAGATCATCGCAAGTATTGGATATGGGCTTTTAGCAAAATTTAGTTAGATTTTAATTGGAAAAAGCACTTTGAAAGCTTTTTAAAATTCAGATATTTGAAGTTTTTGCCCGAAATCTCAAATTTTTGCTGAAAAACGGCGTTTTTGGACTTTTTTGTAATAGATTTTAGTAAAGTTTTAGCTTTGTAAAAAAAAATGAAAGCGGAATAGGAACATTTTATCTATTTTCATTAGCAAAATGGGATGTTATGGAAAAAGCGACACAATTTCTCTTTAGAATTGTGCTCAAGAAAACTGGATGGACTCAGGAGGCGACCGTCACCTTCGAAGAACCCGATGCAGCCAGGCAGGTTGGGTTTTTACTGCTTTTTAAAATCATTAGCAAGGTTTTGTTAACTTTTTTCCAAATTAACTACGTGTTTTTTTTAGATCTGCTACCTCTTCGACAACTACAAATTTTCGCCAACCTCGTCATCAAAGCTGAAAGTGACCCTGAAAGAAGCATCTGTATGAATTATGGCTGAATGGATCTGATTATCTTTTCGATTCTCGTTGTCAGTTGATTGTCATAATTGTCCGGCTCGTTCCTTGCCTCGAATTTGTTGTTCTTCCCTTTATATCAATAACAACCCTCTAAAAACCGATAATACTGTTGGAGATAAACTTTTTTAATTTTTTCTTGGCGGCGATTTACTATGGATGGAAATGCCAAAATGCGGATATCTTGTCGCGATGAATTTAACAATGTAACTACATAGTTTGAGTAGTACAAGCTTGGAATATGTCGATTTTCGCAATTCCGAGATAATGGGATTCTTTCGCATTATCAGGGGGGGGGGGCAGCTTTTCTCTAGGTCCAATTTTGCAATAGAAATAGAGCTTTGTATAAACGACTTTTTACTATTGTAAATGTAAAAACTTTACAACGTTTCATGGTAAATACAGACATAAATTTTCGACCACAATTTCGACTAAAAATTTTTATTTTTTAGAGTTGTTTTCATCTGAAATTTCGCTAAACTAAACCGAAAACACGATTAAAGGACTTATTGTTACATTACTAGACTTTTCTGTACTTAGGGACTCCCCCCCCCCCCCCTACGCCCCGATAATGCGAAAGAACCATATGGTGTGCAGCTAAGAGGCCGGTCAATTTGACTTTACTGGCTTTTCAAGAAGACAAGCTTAGAATTCGATAAAATATAATATAATGTCTTTAGCAAAACATGTTTTTCAACTTCATCCCCTCCGCCCAACACCGCTCTATGGCGGCGAAAAACGAGGGCCTCCTCCACACTAGAGAGGTAAGGTTTCATAAAAATTAATAATACAAATAAACGATATTCTAAATTATTAGGGTACCCGAAACCCAAGGACTGCAATCATCACCAACCTTCCGCCCAACTTCTCCAAGGAGCGAATTGTCGACTGGGCCAAAACCGTCAATAAGCGTGAATCATTTCAGTGAGATTCAACTGGTTTTTATGAAGTCACGTTTTTAGCATTAACCTCTACACCCCGAAATCGCTCGGCAAGGCGCTGGTCGTCTTCGAATCGATCGCCTTCGCCAGGGAAGTAGGGAAATATTTCTAAAATTGAATATAGCTCTATTTTTAGTTTATCGCGCGCTACAACGGAGAAGACGTTGAGGAATACACCGTTTCCGTTCACCCTGGGACGTTCGGAGGTCAACAAAGAAGTAACCAGTTAATGCTGCCTGATGTCAAAAAGGTGCCAAAAATTTAAATTAAATATTTCTTCTTTTCAGGCCTTCATTCGCAATCTTCCGGCCGCGGTCAGCGAAAGGGAAGTTTCCACCGCACTCCTCGGACCGAACCCGACTTACAAACGGTCAGTAAATTACTTATGCATTTTTGAATTATAAATTATTTTCTAGTAACAGCTTCTTAAATTTTAAATAGTGATTTTACTGGCTAAAAATTATTAGCTGGGACGAAATTTTCGGATATTCTCGTGGCGCTCTGAACTTTTCGTAGAAATGTACGTCTTTTCCATTATAATAAATAACAAAATATTTTCACAGCATTTTACTTCACTTATTTTACTGCATTCACTTTATTTTACTTTTTCATATATATGAAGTTCATCAAAATTTATCAAACCTTTTTATCTTTTAAAGTGTTTTATAGCTATTTACTGGTCGAAAATTACTGGAAATGCTGTAAAAATAGTCTATTACGGTATTAGTCTATTAGGCTCAATGACCAGCTCCCCCGCTAACGAACCAGAACCTCACCCTTTTTGAGGTTGTCGGTCCGTAGAACCGACCGCGGACCGGCCACCGCCATCATCGAATTTAACCAAGACGGGCCGGCCAAAGAGGTATAATTTTAATTTAATAATCATTGACCGTGTTTAATTGTGTAAATTTTAATTATTTTGATCGTTTTTAGGTCATCCAGAGATGGGACGGGAAGCTGTTCCCCGGCCATGCCGGCTCGCGCCTGTGCGTCGACTTCTGGCGGCCGTAGATGGATGAACTGCTTCGACATACCGGCCCGGCCCCGGCGACATCAAATAAGCAGCTCAACCTTTTAATTTAACAAGTTTTATTCGATTATTGTAAATAAAATCTTAACACTATTTTTGGCTTATTTTAACGACAATTGATGAGGTTACACTCCATTTTTTTCACGATATTTTGAAAACTCTAATTGCTGTTGATATTGGGAATGCTTATTGGGGACGACTATAGTAAAAAATGTTGTCCTAGTAAGCAGAATTAAACCGTTTTATGCAATTTTTAGTAAGCAAGTTATTTTAACTGTATTAGAAGCAGAAAAACTTTCAGAAAAGTCGAAATTTCGGGCTAAGAAACCAGTGTTCCGGCCCAAAATCAAGCTTTTTATGAAAATTTGTAAGGTTATGAAGACTAGTGTGGCGCTTTTCGCAAACCCAGCATGCGGGCAGTTGTTACAAATCTAGCTATTTTGCAGCAAACGTTTTTTATGGTGGTCATTATAACAGGATTAAGAGGGATAGTTTTTCAGCATTCAACGACCGGGGCGAGCATTTGGACCGTACATCCGATTTTTTTTGCGGGTTTCCTGCATATATTTTTAGTCGATGGCGCTCGATGCTTCCTTGCATCTCGTTGATTCATGACGGCACGCCCTTCCCGATCGATCACGACTTTTGGGGATGGCCCCCGCGGGGAGCTGGACCGGTTTTTGTTTATATTTTTGGTCCCAAAGTAGCGCGTGGGGCGCGTTGGCGCGCTAGCGGCTTGTTGACAAGCAACGGGCAGTTGTGGGTTCCTGGTCGCAAACCGCGGCTTATGTCCTTATCTAGAATCCGGGGGGTTTCAAGGGATACAACGCGATACCGGTGAATTTTTGGAAGCAAGCTAGATGTATGGATACGTATGAAACCCTAATAAATAAGTTTGGATGATCTTTGGTAAAAATTTTATAGAAAAATGACGAAAATTTGCCATGGGCCAGATTTTTAGAGGCTCTAAAAAGTTTACGAACATTTTGCGCTGATTGGAAACCACTAAAACACACAAAAATGTATTTATCGCCGAGATTAAAACTAAGTTGAAACATTCCGCACGTTTTTCCGGTTTTCTTGGCTTGAATTGCGCTTATTCTGTTGCGTTTTCCAGTTTCGGGGTTCCAGATTTTGCCGCGCGGCCCTCAGGATGACCTTGAAAAACAGATTTTGAGTAGCATTGGGAGGCTGGTGGGCCTTTTTTGCCGGAAAACTCGCTAACGCCATCCAAAATTCACGCATCAAATACCGTATTTTCGCTTTTTTACCCCCCATTTTTTGTTCGAAATCTCATTTGTACCCGCTGTGCTTTAAACAAAGCGTAAAATCCGTCTATTTGGTATCACAATATTAAAGTGAGCCGAGCGTTATTTTCGCATAAATCTTTTTATATTTTGGCCGACCGTCCCTTGCTATTTTAGATCGACTAAAGTTCCACGGCTCCTCCTCCAGCGCCATTTTCCCACGGATTAGTCATCGCCCGTGCCCAGCTGCAAGCGGCATTTCGGCGATTTGGCTGGCGCGTTCAAAAATGGAGCCAGTTTTTTGATTTATTCATTTTATTTTTGGCTCCCCAACTGCTGTCTTCTTGAAAGTGTTTTGGCTGTGAAAATATTGCCGCTCATATGATTGAAAAAATCGATTTTGATGCTGGCGTCGAAAACCCGTGGGGGATTTTCTGATAGCACGGGCAGCGTTTTTTTGAAAACATTTTTCCTGAGGTTAGAATTCTACTTAAAAATCGTTGTGTTTAATTAGTAAGATTTTAGCGGCGTTTTCTGGCTAGCAAAATATATTGTTAAAAGCCGTGATTTCACACGTTAAGCAAGTTTTTTTAATTTTGAAAATCTTGAATGGCCCTGTTTTGTTATGTTATACTCGGCAACTTCGTACTAATTCACATTGGATTCGAAAAATTATACAAAATGTTAAATCTAGACAAACTTTTTCTTTCTCATTAATTCACTTTTAACAGAACTTTCAGATGAAACTTAGACCAATTTTGAAGCTCGATTTTCAGGGGTAACTCAACGGCCATGTCGGACCTCGATTGCAGCGTGTGCCTGGAGCGCTGTGGGTTGATTTTCTGGGAACTTAGAAGTTTTAAGATGACACGACAAAGCACCGTCCGATCACGATCAACTGTGGGCACACCTTTTGCGGCGAGTGCGTGATGAAGATCATGTATCCGGGGCGTCAGCAGTGGGTTTTTGGACTTTTTGAAGCCGACAATACGGACTATGCTACGCTACACTGCTGCCTGAATTTATCAGGTTAAAAGACAGCATTTCAGAGGTTCCAACCATCAAGGCCATTGCCCGAATTGTCGAGTTGTGATCATGAACACCGCGCCAAACTACACACTGATAGGTGGGTTTTATGGAGCTTTAGAAAATACATAAAAATTTTAGTTTGATCGGTTCGTTCGGTTAACTTTTTAGCGAAATTTTAAATTTGTAAAACAACCTCATTCTGATGCTAACTTAAACTAAATTAACTAAAATTAAAAAATTCAACATAGACTTTTGCACCTAATTAAATTAAACTAATTTTTTTTTGAAGATTCAGCTTGGATTTTAGCTACTGGTTGAATTAAACGGACTTGAAAAACTAAATATCGATTTTAGCTTTTAATTACATTTTCAGGAATGCTCGACAAGCCGATTGACATCAAGGGCAGCGGCAACTCACAGCATTCCTCTAAAAATACGGTATTCAACGATTTTTACTTTTTTTTTCAAGCACATGCAGGCCGATTCCGAAGATACCTTGGACTTGCTTCGCCTGCAACTTGGAAAGCTGTTAAGCCAGAACGAGCAGACGAAACCGGTGGTGGATGAGGCACGGTAGTTCAGTCGTTAAATAGCTCGTACGAGCATCTTCGGTGTTTAAAAAAACGAAGATAAGACCTTTATTAAAACGTTATTCCAGGCAGCTGAGATGCGTGCTCAAATCGAGCAGCTGAGGAAGAAGCTGGAGGAGCAGGAGCACCGGCAGCAGCTCACGGAATTAAGAGCAAGAGTCGCGGAGCTGGAATATAAAAAGGGCCCGGAGAGGTGGGCATAATTTCGTAAAAACGCACCTTAATTCCTAAACAATCTCTGCTAGATATCTCTCAAAGACGAGCCAATTCGAGCCCTTTTTCAGGCAATCGAGCAGCACGGAAAAGACAACTCCAAAGTCGAAAGCTAAAAGGCAAAATGTTGCATCAGATTCGGACGATGAGCCGGAAGGGGATCGATCTGTCGTAAGAAAAATCCTCCTAATCCTTGAAAGCTATTTCTAGCACCATATCTTTATTCCTAAATCATTTCTGCTAGCTACCCGCTCTAAAATCTACCTTTAGGCCACCGTCAACAAGAAAACCGCCTTTATACGAGGATTGCCAGCAAGTGCCACTGAGAAGCAGATAAAGGCCCTTACGAATCCGTATAATACACCGGGCGGCCAGATTCGGTACATACTTTACATTATACTTCTAATGACACTTCGTTTACAGGATCAAAATGTACTCGCCGAGCTCGCTGGGGCAATGTCTCGTCACTTTCGACGCGATTCAGACGGCACAGCAGGTCGGTTTTTAAAAAAGTTTTTCATTTTTAAAAAGTAGGTAAAACGAATTCCTATGCAATTTTTTTAAGTTTTCTATACTGGAAATGTAACCAGATACCTTTTTTCTTGGCTACAGATTATCTCAGCCTTTCGGTTACTGATTTGGATGAATTTTTCAAGTGCTATATCGTATTTAACAACATAATTTCACTAATTTATTTCAGTTTATCGCCGCTCAAAACGGGAAAAACTTTCCGGGCAGTGCCTCCCCGATGAACATTTGTCATGGGACATTTGGGGGTGAGCGTGCGCTGCCCGATGGGTTGGTGGCGGATCGGAAGAAAGTAGGTATTTCTTAATTTAAGCATTTAAAACCGGAAACGTGCTTTATTTTTTGTAATTTAGGTATTCATCCGGAACCTTCCACCTTTTGTCGACGAGAAATTGGTTCGAAACAAGATTTTGGGGGCGACTAATCCAAAAGCCAAGTGGGTTTTGAACTTTTCAGCGGATTTGTAACGTTTTGGAATTTATCTGATAGACGCTGTTATGTTTTAACGGCATGAAAGACGAGTGTTTTTCAGTAATTTTGTAAGGTAGCAAAAGTCATTTAGGAATTTTTAGACTCTCCGTCCGCAGAAACAAAGACGCCGCCACATGCATTATCGAATTCGGCAATTTTGAGGCGGCTAAAAAGGTGATTTCTGGTGTTTTTTCTTATATTTCCGTTTCAGATTGTCGATTCGTGGAATGGTAAACAATTTCCGGGCTCCCATTTCCACTTGAACGTCGATTTTTGGAGGATTTTGGGCGAGGAGCAGGGTTCTGCGCCTGCTCCAAAGACTCAGAATCCCAAGCCAGTTCCGCAGGGCTCCGGAATTACGGCTGGAAAATTTCCGGGGAAGGTGCAACAGGTGGCAGGTAGTTTTTTATTTTTATCAGGATTGGCGAAGGGCGGTTTCTTATATGGATTTAGTCGCGTGTACAATTAGAAAACGCGCAACACGTAAAAAGAGAGAGAAAGAGAGAGAGAGAGAGAGAGAGAGAGAGAGAGAGAGGAGACAGAGAGAGAGAGAGAGAGAGAGAGCGTGAGAGAGATAAAATTCAACGTTTTTCAGCCCGTCCAGCTATTGCGACGAATGCTGTACCCCAAAATCGCCACAACGCCCCTGTAATGCCCCAGAAGGGCCAACCAAATGCAAAGCAATCCCAAGAAAACATAACAACAAACAACAAAAACAAAGAAAAAGACAACGCGGGGAATTCGCAGAATCAGGTAATTTATACGATTTACTGGTTAATTTTCAAATGATGTTCGAATTTTTACATGGAATTTTGTCAAAAATACAAATTTTAATGAATTGATTCAGAACATTGTCGGAAAAGCCGTATTCATTCGGAATTTGCCGCAAGAAGCTACTCCAATGGATCTGATCGCGTTGTTCCATGGGAAGGCTCGAATTGCCATCAGGAATGGAAGGGATCAGTAAGACTTTATAAAAGATAACCGCTTACTTAATAGTTTATTTTTATGCCAGCCAATAAATAATTACCCAGATGTCGGAATCAATTTTCTAGAATTCTATATCGACAATTTCAGAATACAATTCTTCCCCGGCAAGGGCCCGTTCCAGCTGGCAAAAGTCGAGTTTGAGTCGAAGAAGGAGGCCGACGCGGTAAGCTTGGGTTGTTTTGAACTTTTATAGCTCATAAAATCGCACCAAGTTTATCAAATTTTATCAAGTTTACGAGCTTTCAAAAAGGACAATCAGCCTAGGTTTTCAGATCGTACGCCTCTTTGACGGGACGAAGCTGCCGAGCTCGAGCCGTGTGCTGTCGATGTGCATTTGGTAAGCGAAAGAATTTAGCCGATTAAACTTGGGTTTAATTTGTGTTTTTTTAAAAATTTCAACTGTTAATCGGTTGCTAACTTAATTTTCTATTATTTAGCACAATTTTATTGAAATTTAAGGCTGTTATGGTATATAGTCGTTCAGGGAACCACAAAAGCCGAAGTCCTCGACCTCAACCTCGGCCTCAACCTCCACAGCAAATCCAGCCTCAATAGATATGCGCCGTATCGTGGAGGTCTCGAATCTACCTCCGAAAACTGTCGTCAACGACGTGGTAGCACTTTTCCACGTTCACGCCAAGATCGAGATGGATCCCAGGGGCTTTCCAAAGTACGTTTTTCTCCAATAAACGTTAAAACCGACTGAAATATGTAGGTAAAGTATCAAAAAATGATAAAAGCAGACAAAAATGTCATTTTCCGCGTTTTCCAAAAAATGTTGAAGGATGAAAAAACATAATTCTAGAAAAATAGAGCTTTGAGAAGCTTTTTAGAGTCGTGCTCAAGAAAACCGGCAAAACTCAGCAGGCCACCATCACGTTCAAGGAGGCCGACGGGGCATTGAAGGTAGGATCATTCAAAAAAGTGCCATAAATTAATTGACACGAGTTTAAAGGGACCAAAAAGTATAGAAAATAGTATAGCTCCGTTTAATAAAGAGCATTATTTATCTCGAACGTGGCTGGATCCTGGATAATTCCTTCCAGGTATGCTATCTCTTCAATGGGATCCCAACGCCAGATGATGCTGGGGGCTGCAACCAGCTAAAAGTTGCCCTGCAGAACTAACTCGCTTTTTCTGCGTTTTAATTGAATATAGAAATAGCATCGCCTCTTTTCATTGCCTTTTTCAGTTTTGCGATCAATAGTTTTTTGGGCTTTCGGACGAATAAACGGCTCCGATCAATTTTTTTGAAAAATACTGCGCGAGCATCTTAATCTGTCTGACGAAATACGAGGGCGAAAGCGATAGAGCGAGAGAGAGAAAGAGAAAGAGAGAGCGAGAGAGCGAGAGCGAGAGAGCGAGAGAGAGCGAGAGAGGAGATATAAAAGAGAAACTAACACATTAACACATTCCAGGCCTGCTACCTCTTCGGCGGGCAACACTTCACCGACGCTACCGGGGGCTCATCGATTATCAAATTGACATCTTTTTATATTTAACCGAATTTAATAAAAAAACGGAAAACCTCTATATCCGTTGTAACTTCGGACATGGAGTGACGACGGCACCGAAACCCCCGTAAAATTGACGTTTGGAAAGCGTAAAATAATTTTTCATCAAACTAAAAGAATGGACTATGAGTGGAAATGAATAGAAAGCCAGAATTTACGGGAACTATGTGGCTCGAATTCATAAAACGTCTACGGATCTTCAAATACGAACGCCACCAAAACGCGCTGGCCAGCTCTTGCGAATCCCTTCTGAATTATGTCTTCCAAAAGAATCCATGCGTAATTTGACGTGTCGCGTAGCTGTCGATGCCCAGTGTCAAAATAAGGGATCGACTTTGACGCTTCCAGATACCTTTTTAGGATTACAATGTATGTTTCAAATTTACGTGGCGTGCCGCTAAATCCATGGCAAAAACAATTTCAGTTATGCCTTGACCCGGAGCTGATTTATTGCACTCAAATTTAATAGGCTAAGCGTACGGGTTTTATTGCATGGTTAATTTTATTTGAAGAAGACCAGGTTAATTTTAAAGGGACCGGGAACCCGACAAAAAACCTTTTCAAAAACCTGCCCCTGATGTTACGTCCCGTCCGGACTTTCCTCCCGACAATGCTGATAATTAGCGCCCAAAATTTTTTCCAGAAAATCCATCCATCGGCCCCGTTTTATTTGGTGGGTTTGGTCCGATGCGCTGCCGCTCTAATCAGCACGTTTTTCGGGTTTAACGAGGCCCAGAAGCCAGGGGAGGTGCACACAGACAACGTCATTTTTTGGGTTTATCGTGGATAGGGGAAAGTGAAAGATTCTGGGATGGGAGGGGCTGATACGGGGCCTGAAGGCTTAAAAAGGGAAAGTTGAGGTCAAGAGTCGAGACTTTCTCCCACATCGGCTTCGCTTCGATAGAAAATGCAACGTCTTCTGGCTTCTGGTGCGTTTTTAGGAGTATTGTGGAATTTATCGAAAATCTCGAAGGGAATACGGTATTGCGTTACGGTAGCCATTTAGTCGTCATGATCAACTACCAGATTCCTTAATTAAAAAAGTTGAAAAGCACAAATTAATCTGAAAAAGCTTCAACGCTTCGGTTTATATGACTTGGTGATTTTCACGTCCTTTTTTGTGATTTACCGGGACTTTGCGGTAGTTACGGTATCTACGGAACTTTGTAAACTTTGTAAACTATATCCGGCCTATGCAAAAATATTAGATTTTCTGTAGCCTGCTGCCATTGGGAAGGGCCAGCAAAACGGGATTACTGTATCTAGGGTACTGTAGAATCTGAATTCGGCCAAGATAAAATAAATAGCATTTCCTAGAGTATTGTAGTGTACGGTAGAAAACAAAGATGATTCTTGAACGGTGATGTATTACGTTGAGTTGTATTACTTAGCGTCGCGCTGCGTATACGTACGTGCACCACGTAGTTGCGTAGCGTTCCTTCACGTTTCGGTGCGTTTGTCCTGTTGGGCCGCATCATGATTCGTCAAGTGACGTTACGTAGCATTGCGCATCAATTTGTAGTCGTTCGTAGTGTAACGATCCGTAGCGCGGAGCAACGTACTACAGTGTGTGCCATAATGATAGGGGGAATGGAGTTTTTGGCCGTTTTCTCCACGGTCTTGCATGTACCCGTACAAACCGAATAGTAGGTTTTGTGGTCCGGAAAAATGCGCATCTTTTGGTCTACTTGAAATGCTTTTACGATGCAGGATCACATTTTTATACGCAATTGTATGAAAATAGGCGAAAAACACAAGTGACAAAATGATAGGGGAATCATTAACATAGCATTTCCATCAACTTTCTGTATGAATAGTGGATGCTAATTAGATGCAAATTTTGGCTGGCTGTTTCCGGATGGCGTTTCGGTCAGAAAATGCTATCTTTGCATCATTCTCTCCTATGAATCTTCAATTAAAATCACTTAGCATCCACTATTCATTCAGAAAGTTGATGGAAATGATATGTTAATGATTCCCCTATCATTTTGTCACTTGTGTTTTTCGCCTATTTTCATACAATTGCGTATAAAAATGTGATCCTGCATCGTAAAAGCATTTCAAGTAGACCAAAAGATGCGCATTTTTCCGGACCACAAAACCTACTATTCGGTTTGTACGGGTACATGCAAGACCGCGGAGAAAACGGCCAAAAACTTCATTCCCCTATCATTATGGCACACACTGTAGTACGTAGCGCTCCGTCGTTTCGGTCTTCAAAAATGCCCTTCAAAATTGACCCTTTTTCAGTCCTCGTCCTCCTCGTTGGCACCTCCTTGGCTGCCGACACGTGCTCGGCCTCGGATATCCAGGGTCTCACCAAGTGCTACCAAGCATTCGTCGGTGGATATGGCTTCAACATGACGAACATAATTCCGCATTACTGGGATGTAAGTGATACCTCGATATAACTTAAATATCACGTATTAATGACCGCCAGATACCTTCAAAAATGATGCTCTTTCAGGTTCACCAGGTGCGAACGGCTTGGCTCGACGCCCAGGGAGTCAAGATTCAGCCCAAGGTTTGCCAGTGAGTTTTGTGCCGTATTTTCGCTAGATGACTACCTATTAATGCGCCCTTATTTAATTCTACCTTCTCAGGATCGGAAACGCGTTGATCAACTGCATCCAGCGATACTCGTGCCTGTCCCAGGATACCTACCTTACCCTTGGCGCCAACACGACCGAGGCCCCTCGCTGGTTCATCGACAAGATTGCCACCCAGTGGCAGTGCGGAGCTGGATACAGCAGTCAGTATTTATGGGCTTATCGATTTTCTATTGTTCGTATCCTTTGCTTTCTAGTATCTTTCTGAAGATGTTACTCTCCTTTATTAAAAAGCTATTATTTGTATGCAGACTAAAGTTTAAATTAGTCGTGCAGGATTTTCTTAAGAAATGGAATTTTTTGGCATCCGATTTTTAGCCCTCATCTCCGACTACTACTGCATGGCTGCCTGCCGTGAGCACCGTGACGCTCAGCTGAACGCCTGCAACACGATGATGAAGCAGGAGATTATGAATGGAACTGATCCCTGCGTGTACGTTTTGAGCGAGAGAGGGAGAGGGCGAGAGAGAGAGAAAGAGAGAGAAAGAGAGAGAGCGAGTGAGAGGACGCGATCCTCATTTCAAAAAATATTCGATCTTCAGTGCCACCAACGACATGGTCACCTGCCAATCCAAGATCTACGCCACGTACTGCGACTACAATGCTGGAGTCTTTGACTGTGGACAGAATGTTGCTGTTATTGTGGGTTTCCTTGTTTCTTATCTCTCTCTCTCTCTCTCTCTCTCTCTCTCTCTCTCTCTTTCACTATCTTTCGCTCTCTCCCTCTGACTCTTTTAAAATGTTCGTTTTCAGAAGGGAACCACCCCCATGTGCGCGCCAGCCCTGCAGGACTGCGGCAAGTTCCAGTACTACTTCTAAGGAGCGAGGAGCGCAGGATACTGTACAAATAAAAATAAAATTAGCCAAAACGCACAAAAGTCTAAAAATGGCGCCAAGCGCAGGGCCAAAATCTGAGCAGACAAGCAGAGATCATCTGGCAAACAAAAGTAAAACGAAAATAAATGACAAAGAAGTCAAAAACAGCTGGAACTTTGGCCAAGCTAGCAGAGATTCCTAGAGAAATCTTGGATTTACTTTTCAGAGTATCAAATGGAAGGCTAAGATCAGATAGCAAAGGTCCTTTAGGAAGTGAAATCCATGAATTTCTGGGAACCTCTGCTAGCCTGCCTCAAATTCGGGTCTTGCCGTGGAAAAATTGTGGCTCCACTAACCCTTAAGTTTATCTTAAATGGTCTCTGCTTGTTTGCCTAATTTATTAAGTAGACTGGGGCAAAACAGCGATTCTTTGGGAAAGCCGGAGGCTTGGGCTTGGTTTTTTTAAAATAAGCACGACTTTTTCATTTTTTAAGTTTGCACAGATAAGCTGCGCAGCTTGCGGCAAGCTAGCAAAGAACTTTGAAAACGCGAGCCGGAGGTTAGTTTCGTTCAAGGGCGGCATCAGAAATGTCTGGGTTTAGATGGCTAGCCTAAAGCAAGCTAGCAGAGAACCTTTTGGAAACGACGTTGAAAGCTGGTTTCATTAAATACAATGCGTCTGTAATCTTCTACCCATATTTTCTCCAAATTACGCTCCTTCCAAAGGACACTAGCGAACGCCTATTGTTCCAGAGCCGTCTGCAATTTTGTGGCCTTCCAATAAATCATCATAAATCCCGTGGTCAGTGCCGGAAAGACATTTTTTATACCTTGTCTACACTTCTTTAGCTTTTAAAAAGCGAAAATCGCGTGCTGGAGATGAAAGGAGATGTTCCGGAGTTCCCACCGGAGCTCATTTTTAGCGGATTTTTCGAGGGGCAATGATCGGTGGAGCATCACTCATTTTGGGTTCACAATCAACCGGTGCTCACCTTTTTGCCCTGTTCGTGGTATCAGGGTGGAATTGGATTTGAAAGGCATCGGAACACTTGTGCTGGGATTTTTGGGGTCGTACTGGATTCGAGATGCTGTTAGGGTTACTGTACTTTAATTAATCTCACTATAAAGATTTCTAACGAGTTAAAATATGCTCTACAAGTCTGATTTTGCTCATTTTCGAAGCCAATAGACTTTTTGGCGTTTCTCATTCAAAAAATATACCAGAAATTTGGCGGTTTTTCGGTTAGCATTGAATTGAACGAAACTATTTAAACTACTTAAATAAACTCTTTTACGTTCAATTGATTTCATTTTGAAGGAAATCTTCATGAGAAAAATTCGAAAATCGCTCGCTTGCTTACGAGAAAAATAGGAATTATAGGAGCTGGGAACCGCAATCATCGCCCATTTCTAGAGCTTGGGTATTGGCGGCTACGCTGGGCTACAAATGGTTCTTGCAGACGAATTTAATTATTTTCTTCAGTGCCGTCCTTCACCTATTAAAGAGAGCTTAATTTTCCCATAGCATAGTCAAATCTGTAAAGCTTAGTGCTCCACCCCGTTTGAACTTCTAAAAATGCCCTTTCAGGGCATTAAGCGGGGGAAATATGGTTTATTTACTACGTGTTCACAGCCCGCGGTGGGTGGCACCTGGCCAGCCAATTGGTCAACCCGGTTTTTCCGATAATCATTATTCATTTTTGAGCTTTTTTGAGCTTTCGATAGGTAGCTTGTCGCCTATAAAAATCCTAAGTAATTTTGTCTCCATAAAAATCCCTGTTTTGATACCTTTATTTCAATTGATTTATTTTTAAGTTCTGCGTTTTTGGTCTGTTTGTTTTAACACTGTAATTTTACCTTATTACACATTTTAAGCTCTACGACTTTTTTTCTGAAAATGGACTACACTCGTCCGATCGTCGGTTACGGTATTCTCGTTTTTAATATTTTTGGAAATTTCGGAAATTTGAATATTCTGTGGGCACACAGCAGAGGGAAGATGCCTGGGAAACATGGTATTTTTGTAAAAATTGCCTTTCTTAATAATATATATCTTTTCAGGAATTTTACTCGCTTCCACGGCCGCTTTCCAAAACATCTGCCTCGTTTGCGAGCTTGTTAATTCGTATTTTATGTTTTTCACGGCTGAGGTACGTCGTACTTTTTATTAACTTTCCAGAGGTATAATTCGAATAAAAATTCCATTAAAAACCCGGACAAAAATCTCAGTTGGATTTTTAAATGTTATAATTCATTTTACATAACATTAAAAAATGTAAAAAACGATTTTTTGGCTTCCCAGTCTGGCGTAAAGTATATTTAATGCAGTTTAGGTAACGAGGCGGGTCTGCTTTTGGATGCTATCACCGTATGTTTTCGCGATTTGCATGCATAATGCTTTGCTATTTTCGCTATCTCTGGATCTCCTATTTTCGATAGTGATGCCGGGAATGTAAGTTCCCTCTCTCTCTCTCTCGCTCTCTTACCTATTTTTCACGCACGCTCTCTCACCCACTCTCTCACTGCCGCTCTGTCTCTCTCTCTCTCTCTCTCTCTCTCTCTCTCTCTCTCTATCTCTATCTATCTCTCTCTCGCTCTCTATCCCCCTCTTCAGGCATCGTCGTATCCCCACCCTCCGATATTTCCTCATATTATGCATTCCATGTACCGTATACTCGACCTTTTTCGAGATCTACGGTATTCTGACGATAGATGATGGTAAGGGTATCCGATTACACCATTTAACCCCTCTTCCCTCCTTCAGAAAAGCTGAACTACTGTAACCCAGTGTTGGCGTATTCCTCTGGAACTCGTATGGTGTGGACAAGATGTTCTGTTTGTCTCAATGTCTGGACGCTAATATTATATCTTATACTATTGGGGATATTAACTTGGAGGAGCTATCGTAGGGCTTAAAATTCGATATAATAATAATAATAATTTATTCAACACTAAGGTTTCAATGAGAAACGCTTAAAAGTGAGGGAATATGGTAGGAAAAACGAGAAAGAGGGGAAAAAATGGAATAGCAAGAAAGAAAAAAGTCAATAATGATGAGGAAAGGGGCATGGTTATATAAAGGTTAAGATAGTACATAATCCATTGGAATGAGTTTGGCTATAGATTTACGAAAACTTTCACATGTTGAAGCAGAGACGATTGAGGGGGGGGGGGGGAGGGAATTCCAGGTTGAGCAGGTCCTTGAGCTAAAAAAGGCTTTGTGGTAGGATTTTTTAGACGATATTAGAGGTCGTAGTTTGTAGGGGAGGCCACGAGTGGAAGAAGCATTGGTACTAAAAAATGAGCTAGTAGAAACATTAGAAGAGTATTTATGGAGTTTATAAAGGAAGGAATAGTCGGCAATTGTGTTCCTATAGTTCAGCGGTTGGAGATTGAATTGTTCTAGTGCCGAACGATAAGACTTGTAATCAACCCTACATCGATAGCAAACTTTTCTATGAAAATCCTTAAGTATATGTTCGATTGCAATGCGATCTTTTTTTAAAAAGGGAGAGGTTACAGGTGAGGCATACTCAATTATAGGTCGAGCATAGACATTGAACGCTTTTGTATAAAGACTAGGAAGTCGGCTACGGAAAATTTTAAAAAGAAGAAAGCAAACTCGCGCAGCCTTCTTCGTGACATGGAGAACATGTGGTGACAGGCTGAAATCATTGGACAGTAGAACACCTAAATCACGTATTTGTGTAGCCTGAGGCAATATCTGGCCATTAATAGAATAGCAAATTTTAGGATTACGCTTCCCATAGTGCATAGACGCGCATTTAGGGATAGCAATGAATAGCTGATTGTCAGTAACCCACTTCTCCAATTTATGGAGTTGTTCGGGCAAAGTAGAGGGAGATGGGTACCTATTGACAAGGGAAGGTTGTTTGGGTCAGGTGTCAAATCTTTCTGAAAATTGGCCAGTGGATAGGAAATTGAAAACGGAACAAGGTGCGCTAAGTCGTTTTCTGCACAATACCCCTAATTAAAAAGTTATAAGCATTTTAAGTTTGTGGTCTGAAAAATGAGTTCTGCGCAGGCTTTTGCACCGATACCGCACCGTTTCCGCATTCTCTTCATGCGTGATTTCTTGACCCTCTCTCGTCTCTGTTGCCCACGCCTCTTCTAGCGCAATCGGTAGTGCGCTTGACTCACAATTTTTTGAAAAATTTTTGGCAAAAGTTCGAGGCTAAAACTTTTCTATCTTTTTGCTTTTTGCTTTTTGTTCTTGCAAATTAGGGTTAGTTGGCGTAAAATCCAAAAAGCAAAAAGTTGGACGCATCAAAGACTTGAACTCGATTACAAAAATTTATAAAGTTTTGCACTCTACGGCACTACAGGGTGTTAGGATTTTCCGGAAAAAATTTAAAAGCTTTTTTTTTTTTTTTTTTTTTTTTTTTGCCACCTTTTTTTTTTTATATTATTTTATTTTTTTTTTTTTGGGCGAAGGAAAAAAAAATTTTTTTGGTTTTCAATTTTTTAAAATAAAAAAAAAAAAATTTTTTTTTTTTTTTTTTTCCCAAAAACCAAAAACCCTTCCATTTTTTTATACAGAAAAAAAAAAAAAAAAAAAAAAAAAAAAAAAAAAAAAAAAAAAAAAAAAAAAAAAAGGAAATATTTTTTTTTTTTCAAAAATAAAAAAAAAAAAGGAAAAAAAAAAAAAAAAAAAAAAAAAAAAAAAAAAAAGGGGGGGGTTTTTCCCTTTTTTTTTTTACTCGGGGGAAGCTGAAACCCAAAAAAAAAAAAAATTAAAATAAAAAAAAATAAAAAAAAAAAAAAAAAAAAAAAAAATAAAAATATATATTATAAAAAAATAAAATTTTTTTTTTTTAATTGTCGGGAAAAATGATATAAAAAAAAATTTTAAAAAAAAAAAAAAAAAAATTAAAAAAAAAAATAAAATAAAAAAAAAATAAATAAAAAAAAATAAATAAATATTTAAATGATTTATTAAAAAAATAAATAAAAAAAAAAAATTAAAAAATTTTTTAATATTTTTTTTTTTTTTTTTTTTTTTTTTAAATAAAGGGAAAAAAATTTTTTTATTTTTTTTTTTTTTTTTTTTTTTTTTATTATATTTTTTTTTTTTTAAATTTTTTGGAAATAAAAAAAAAAAAAAAAAAAAAAAAAAAAAAAAAAAAAAAAAAAGAAAAAAAAAAAAAGGAAAAGGAAAAAAATTAAATAATGGTATATAATGAAAAAACAGAAAATACCTACTGCGCCAAACAGCCTGCCAGCCCGGGCGATGCAAGAGCTTGAAAAGGGGGCAGGCCACAATGAGGACCAGATCAGAATTGTCGGGTCGTTTCGTGCTTTTTTATGTAACTTCAAAGACCTATAACTTTTTAATTTGGGGTATTGTGCAAAAAATGAGATTAAGAAACTCCACTTTATTTTTGATTTTCTATCCACTGGCAAAGTTTCAAGTCGATTTGACACCTGACCCAAACAACCTTCCCTTGTGAGATGTTTTTTATAGAACGTAGAAATGGCCAGGGAGATACGGTAACTTTGGCGGCTACAAAATTGACCGAATCGTATGAGGAAAAAGTGAGCGAAAGAGAGAGCGAGAGAGAGCAGAGAGAGTGAGAGAGAAATAGAGACAGAGAGTGAGAGAGTGAGAGAGATCAATTCCTTCGTACAATTCACTGTTTTTAGGCTGTACGTGGAATTTCTGTTCTCGTGATAGCCTTCGTCTTTTCCTGGTTTTGCGCCCTGGAAGGCAGTGATACGATCCAGTACTTTAACGTTCCACCGGAATTTATGGCCACTTTCCAGACGTATATGGTAGGTTTAAAGGGACTGGGAAGTTAGCGGGTGCGCGGAAAATTCGAGAAGAATCCATAGCTCGTAAAATTCATTCGCATGCGTTGTCTGTCCCTTGAAAATTCTCATGATTGCGTCATTTCAGGTATTCCCAGCAATGCTCGAGTACTCACAGCCTTACTACATATTGTATTGGAGGAGTCCAGCTTATCGAAAAGCTTTTCAAGAGCAAGTTCGGATACTTACGTACGCTAGTTTTACCATATCAAACCACAAAAAAACCCCGAGGAACCAAAAAAACACAATGTTATGCAATTCCATAAGGCAGTGTCCTTTTTTATAGTACGGACCCCAATCAAGCCTGTCGTTAACGGAATATTGTTATCCATCTTTATGAATGCCTTATTGGCTCACATAAATAGGGTGAATTGAAAAAAGGAAAAGGCACGTTTCCTTAATGTATCTGCTACATATTAGGACATAGTTGAATTCCAGGCTTGTTTGACTATAAGGTTTAAACTTTAATTTGGAATTTTAGTTTCCGATCGGCCGAGGTGCCGTCAACAAAAGTCCACGTCGTCAGCCAGCACACAAATTCGGTAGCGGAACGCCGGAAGTTGAGTCGAGTCAGCCAAATGTCTACAGCGGTTGATTAGGAATTCAAATAAATTATTTTTACTTACTTTAGCGTTATAACATGACCAGTGAGCATTAGCGGAGTTCGGCACGCAAAACTAAGGACTTACAAGAATCGATTGCCAAAATATACAAAAGCTCCGGGCTAAATCCGTTCCAAAAAATGGCCATGGACTTTTTGAGCCAGGTTAAGGTATCATATTCCGCGTATCATAATTATATTGATCCGTGGAATATCGAAATTTCGACATTACGCCATTTTGACGTTCTGAAAATGCGAAGTTCTACTAGCAAATTATGGCTGATCGGGTGCGCGATCTAATCTCAGACTCGCTGCCCGGGTCCCTCTTCCTCCTGCGACGTTTTTTTTTGCTTTTTTTGCCTCAAAACGAGCTCGTGTTTCTCCGAAAACGAGCACACACACACGAATCAAGAAAAGAAGCTATAGATTTTAGAAATACGATACTCAACAACCACAAGTCTCGATATCGGAAAATTGGCAATACCAGAGGTTTGGCCTGGCCTGGCCACTGGCTTTCATAAGTTTTTAGGAGAACTTCTCGGATTTTTAGAACAGTTCCTAAGTGAGAAACACCCTGAATTCCTGAGGACAGAGAGCAAATCAGATAAACGAACTGCTCCAAATTGTCACCCGCGCGGCGTCAGCGCGTACAAATCGTCTATTTTGACTTGGCGGGCTTTGGGAAAAGGCTTGCTGTCTCCGTTGTTTTCCTAATGCACACCTCCGGATCCGACCCACTCATTTTTTCGAGCCCCTTATTTACATGGAAAAAGCAATTTATATTTTTTCTTTTTCGGTGGATAGAGATTTCCGTTTTCATGTTAGACTTGTATATTGATTTTTCGGATTTTGCAGATTGTATCGTTTTCAAATTTTGAAACTGTTTGATGATTCATTTTTTTATTTTAGGATTTTCTTGCCTTCTTTTTAGCTTTTTAAATGTTCATTTAAATGTGTAATTTTATATTTGTTTTAAGTTAAGGAACTTTACAGCAAAATGGACTTCACTCGCGCGATTGTCGGCTACGGGATCATCGCGTTTAACATCGTCGGCAATTTCGGGAATTTGAACATTTTATGGGCATATAAGAGAGGGAAGATGCGAGGGAAACACGGTTAGTTTTGTAGAGCATGAATTAGAATGTTTCAACTATTTTTACGGCCTTTATTCCATATATCAAATGCTCAATAAAAAGATTATTTTTATTTTCAAGAATTGTAGCCTTTTCCAGACCTTATCGTCATTTTTAATGAAATTTCGAGGTGAGGGGAAGGTCTGACATGCAATTTAAAACTTGAAAAACATATACAGGGTTGGGCAGAAAGGGGGGGGGGGAAAAAATTTTTTTTTTTTTAAAAAAATAGGGGGGGGGAGATATAAATTAAAAAAATAAAAAAAAAAAAAAAAAAATAAAATTTTTTAAAAAATTAAATATTTTTTTTTTATAAATAGGGTAGGGTGGGGGGGGGGGGGGGGGGGGGGGGGGGGGGGTGGGGGGGGGGGTGTTTTGGGGTTTATTTTTGTTAAAAATTTTTGGTTTTTTGGGGGGGAAAAAATTTTTTATAGGTGTGTTTTATTAAAATTTTTTTTGTTTTATTTATATTTTTTTTTTTGGGGTTGGGGGGGGTGGGGGTGGGGGGGTTTGTGGGGGGAAGTGTTTTTTTTTTTAAATAAAATTTATGTGGTGTTTTTTTGTTGGATTTTTTGTGGGGGGGGGTGGTGGTTTTATGGTTGTTTGTGGGAATGTTGGGGGGTGGGGGTTTTGTTTGGGGGTGTGGAGGGTGTTTTTTATTTTATTTTATAATTTTTTATTTATTTTTATAATTTTTATTATTAAAAAATTATAAATTTATAAATTTATTAAAAAATTTTTAAAATTTTTGTTTGTTTTATTAGGGGGGGGGAGGGGGGGGAAAAAGGGGTAAAAATAAAAATAAAAAATAAAAAAAAGGAGAACAAAAAGATAAGGGGGGAGAAAAGGGGGGGGGGGGGGGGAAAGGAGGGGGGGTCCCTCGGGGGCCCCCCTAAAATGCCAAAAGCAACATACCATAATTATTTGTTAATTTAGCTAATTATACCTTTTCCAGACCATTAAATTAAGATACCTTTTAAGGTATCCTCCTCACCTCCACCTCAGCTTTCCAAGGCATTTGCCTCTTCTGCGAGCTGGTCAACGCCTATTTCATGCTGTTTACGGCTTCGGTAGATGTCTCGTGAATTTCCGCTTCAACTCCAAATTACAGACAACGCGGCGGACGTGTTATTGGCTACTTTCACCGTATGTTTTCGCGATATGTATGCACAATTTTCTGCTCTTCTGCCTGTCGTTTGATCTGTTGGTGTCGATCACGTTGCCGGGGCCGTGAGTTGGATTTTTACGGCGAAAGTTTGCTCTATCTCACTCTGCCTCTCACTCTCTCTCTCTCCATTGCCTCTCTCACACTAGCTCTCTCCTCGTTCTCTCTCTCTCACTCTCTCTCGCTCTCTCGCTCTCTCGCTCCCTCGCTCGCTTTCTCTTTAACTCTCTCGACGCCTCGCTCTCTCTTTCTCTCGCTCTCTCTCGCTCTCTCTCTCTCTCTCTCTCTCTCTCTCTATCTCTATCTATCTCTCTCTCGCTCTCTATCCCCCTCTTCAGGCATCGTCGTATCCCCACCCTCCGTTATTTCCTTATATTATGCATCCCATGTACCGTATACTCGACCTTTTTCGAGATCTACGGTATTTTGACGATAGATGATGGTATGGCTATCCGATTATGCCATTTAACCCCTCTTTCCTCCTTCAGAAAAGCTAAACTACTGTAACCCAGTACTGGCGTATTCTTCTGGAACTCGTAAGGTGTGGACAAGATGTTCTGTTTGTCTCAATGTCTCTACCCTCATCTTATATCTAATACTGCTTGCGATATTGACGTGGAGGAGCTATCGTAGGGCTTAAAATCGGATTTTTTCGCGCATACCGTACCGGAGATCGTGTAAAGAGTAACGTAACGTACGAGTGAACAATTTGTTTAGAGCGTAAAAACCGCTATACGGTCGAAAAGTTCGTAGAAGTGGGCAAAAAAGAAGCCTGCAAGGCTTGAAAATCGATCTTAGAAACTTTGTATTTTTAATGGAATACCGTAATACGAATTATGTACAGAGGATCGTATTGTACTTCTCGTTTAGAGCGTAGAAAATGCCAAGACGACGCAACGACAGTGCAAACTACAAAATCGAGCGAATCCTATGAGGAGAGGGTGGGTCGGCGTTCCAAAATCGTTTTTCATCAGCGTATCGTATCTTTTTTTCAGGCTGTTCGCGGGATATCTGTGCTGGTAATCGCTTTCGTCGTTTCGTGGTTTTGTGCGCTCTTGGGTAGTGATACCGTACAACATTTTGGGATTCCGACCTCCTGGGTGCCGGTTGTGCAGACTTACATGGTATGTTAAAGTGTTTGAAAATAGCGGATCATCAAGCCAGCCAAGAGAGCTAGAGAGAAAGCGGGAGAGAGAGAGAGAGAGAGAGAGAGGAGGGAGAGAGAGAGGGAGAGAGAGATGGAGAGACAGAGCGAAAGACGCAAATTTTTCAGGTCTTCCCAGCAATGCTCGAATACTCACAACCGTACTACATTCTCTATTGGAGAAGTCAACAACACCGTGCTGTTTTTCGAGAGCAATTAAGGATGCTGTGGTGGGGTCATAAAATTTTCTGCATGAAGGAATAGCATGCCAAATTCACTACCAAACAACCTCACTAAAACCAAAGATTCTAGCCTAAAACCAACCGAATCGTCGACCCCTAAAATCCAGGTTATCAGCCAGATATCAACTCCGAAGGCCGATCGAAAATGGAGTGGGAGATCAAGGATTAGTCAGACATCAGCTACAGGTCAGTTAGTGGCAGATTAATGGGCCGAGCCCGGAGCAATTGACGCGAGTTATATTAATTTATACTTAATAAAGATAGATCTGCATTATAACGTTTGCAAAGTAGTAGTATAATAAAATTTAATACTTGCTTTATTGTACCTTTTTAACAGAATTTTGTGGTGTCGTGCGAGCGTGCCGTCCTCATTCCACACACCCACGATTTACGGCAACCAGCATTCGAAGAGCACGAGTCACCTGGGGCCCCGTAGCGATTGTAGTGGCTAAAGACAATTAATTTCATGCTAAAAATCGTGTTAAACTTTGCTAATTCGAATTAAATTATGATAATTCAGATTGTGTTAGCTTTCGACATTTTTCAACGTTATACCGCACGGTGTAATATTTTCTTCAATTAAAATCTTGACTTAATTACATTAAACTTAATTGATTGAATTAAATCAACCTGAGTTTTTGAAGTTGATTCTAATTTTAAAAACGTATACTTAAAAAATTTTCCTCACTGATAATATTTCGCAAATAGGTGAGCATCCGTCAAAAAGCGTTCGGTCAGATCGTGCCAACTTTGGGGCGATAGGTCCTTCATACCGTACGCCTCCTAAAAATTCCAATGCACTAAAAGTTGCCCAAAAGTTGCCCTACCGTAGCCTTATACTCCAACTCCCACACCGGCTCTTGACCATTTTCATTTGCGGCTGTCAGATTGGCATAGAAGGCCTCGATTTCGAGGACTGTCTGCAAATTGGATTGCTGTCACGCTCCCTTTAAAAAGGAGGCTAAGGTACTGTAGCTACCGTACTAATAGCCTCAAACTACACGGGTTAAACCGCTATCAAAAGCTCTAGAAAACAAGAAAAAGTGAATTTTTGGATTTTCTAAGTGCTTGATCTCAAGATAAGATTGACATTTGGATGTCCAGCGATAACTTTCTCATGCTGTTACGCTTGCCTTAAAACGGACTACGGTACAGTACGGTATATGCGAATACTACGGAGTACACCTCATGACAGCCCTACGTACATAGGAGCTTCCGGCGTAATCACCATCGATGGTGTAGATACGGTAGGCGGGGTTGTTGTTGGTGTTGGTGGTCAACGACGGAGTGATGAGATTCACTCCCACCGGACGTTTTTTGAAGTCTGCCTGGTCGTAGTAAATCTTAAAAATGATTCTGGTGCCTTAAATCTACCAAATATTTTACCTCAAACTGATCGACATGGGTGTGGCCGTAGAATTGAGCGGCAATGGTCGATTCAAATCTGAAATCAGTTTTAAAGGGAGATAGAAAGAGAGAGAGAGAGAGAAAGAGAGAGAGAGAGAGGGAGAGAGAGGGAGAGATCTAGAGAGAGAGAGAGAGAGAGAGAGAGAGAGCGAGAGAGAGTATCTCATATACCTATTAACAATCTCATAGAAGTTGAATGACCAGCCCTTGAGGCAATACCCATTTCCGGATGGGATATGGGCAAACAGATGGACCTGAAAATCTAGAATTTGCTGCAACAGCTTTAAACTACCAGGTACAACCTACAAAACTACCGTACCTTATCTCCTTTTTGCTCGGCGTCCACTAACTGTTCGATCAGCCATTCGAGAGTACCGTCCGGGTCGACCTGGTTGATGTAGAGGTAGCTGGAAAATCGTATCTCTCTCTGGTTTCCTCTCTCTCCCTCTCTCTCTCTGTCTCCCTCTCCCTCCCCCACTCACAAATTATTCTGCGAGCAGTAGATCGAGTTGAACGCGATCAGCTTCAGCCCCGGCTTCACGTATTGGGCCCAGGACGCGCGGCTAAAAACGTTATTTACAGGGCAGGCTAGCAGAATTCAGTAAGGAAATTTTAGAACTTACTAGTGCACGTCATTCCTCTGTACGGGCCCTAATTCCGGGCCCCAATCTTTGGCCAACTCGGCGTAGAGCCATTGTGGCCCTCGGGTGTCGTACTCATCCATTCCATGTGGAGCCATACTAAAAAATCTCGTTTTCTCTCTAGCTCTCTCTGTCTCGCTCTCTCACTCTCTCGCTCCCGCTCTTTCTCTCACTTTCTCTCTCACTCTCGCTATAGCTCTCTCTCTCTCTCTCTCTCTCTCTCTCTCTCTCTCTGTCTCTCTCTGACTTTCTCTCTCTCCATCTCTCTCACTCTCTCTCGCATTCGCTCTCTCTCTGTCTCTCTCTGTCTCTCTCTGTCTCTCTCTTCTTTATCTCTCTCTGTCTCTCTAGCCTCTCTAGCCATAAATTCCGGTGCCATACTAAAAACGTACGCGTCACTGGGTACCCCCTCGTGATTGCCGACCGATTGGAAGATTGGGGTGGTGGGGAAGAATTCGCGGAGCACGGCCGTGATATTGGCAATGTTTGCTGCCGTTTTTTCCTGGAAATTGGTTGGATTCTGAGATCACACACTCTTTCTAGGGTCCAGAAAGCGCTAGAATCGACCCTCTTGGGCGACTAGATCTCGACAGGTGGATTCACGAAAACACGAGAAAGATAAGCCGAAAAATCTCCTTTTCCAACGAATTTTTAGTCGTGTCGATACCTAGTCGCCAGAGAGGGTCGATTTTGTCCCTGAATGGTCCTTTTTAAAGCCGAATTGGACAGGAAACAACTGAATATTACTGTAGCCACTCGCCTTGGTATAATCCCAAATGTCGTGCGCCTCCAGGTCACCGGTGATTATGATGTAGTCGAGCTAAAAATACATGGAAATTTTTAGCTTCTAATGCGACGCTCAAAAATCATTAAAATCATACAATTTTTTGGTTTTTACACGCTTAAATTGCGTTAAAATTAAATGTCTATACCTTTTCTGTGCGACTAATATGGGACATGGCGCTGATGAAGGTCTGGTAGGGTAGATCACACTTTGCTTGAGTTCCCCATTTTCCGGCCGGCTTCTTGATTGGGCCTAAAATAAATGTATTTAGGTAGATGAGAAGTAGGATAGTAATTTTAGAGTTATTAACAGTGTCAGAAGCATTATTGTTATTATTACGGACAACCCACCATCCTGGGCAGTCACACCAGGCGGGTAATTACGACAGCACATCACGAACATCCCGAAAATCGAAACGTGATCCTAAAATACATAGTTATGTATATCTAAAAATAATTAAGTTTAAAACGTTTTGAAGGCATTTGGGCAGCAATGACCTACGCGTAATACCTTAAACCTAGGTATCTTTCTACCTGTTCCTCGCTATCACACTGCGCTTCCGAGCCTTCCTGGTATTGCCGGTCGACGTGGATATCCGAGAGATGTAGCACTCGCAACGTTGGTTTGCCCTTCTAAAGTGAAAAAGCCGGATACAGACATTTTCTTGAGCCCAGGGATTGAAGGCATGCTAGCAGAGATTCTTTAAGCTCTCGAAATTCGCAACTCCTGAAGCCTACCTGTACTTGCGGCCATGGTTTAACTGGCGGCTTTCCATCCGGAATTTTCAGCGGCCAGAGAACGTCAAAAACATTCGTCTCGTGGCCGCAATCCTAGAAATAAGGAGAGATAAGCATCGAAAGTGAAAATTGTCTTATGAAACGAAGATTCTAGAATTTTGGTGTTGCTCCGACGCCGAAAAATGCAACATAATCTAGCGTAGTCAATGGTAGCCAAGCGTAGCCTAGCTTATGCGCTCCGTTTGGCCGAAGCAAGAGGTAGAGTAACATATCAGGTTCTGCAGCATCGTTACGAAACGTAGCGTAGTGCGGCGTAGCGCTTTCGGGTCTTTCGGCTTTTCAAGGCGTAGCCTCCTCACGTAGCGTCCTGAGTTTTACTGCGTCCTTGCGAGCGTTACGCAGCCTAGCGCAGCACATTGAGCTTTGTTTAGACATCCAGAGGCCTAGCGTATTCGTTTTTGCTTCGGCGAATCGAAAGTTAACGTAGCCCAACGTACTCGCGTTCGTTTTCACATGAAAAAAATAACGTAGCAGCATTACACAGTTAGCTTTCTTCCGCCGTTTCAAGACATAGCGTAACATACCCTAGCGCAGTGTTTTAACTTTTTTCGGCCACGTCAGGGCGTAACGTAACGTAGTGTAGCGTATGATTTTTTGCTATGTTTACGGTGCCCTACGATATGTCTTGAAAATAAGCACCTGAACGAGATCGGCGCACATCTCATCGGGCGTCACGATGACGTGGTCCATCATGAAGAGCACCTCGGGCTGTAATTCGCAAAAATAGAGAAAATCGTCGGAAAACCATCACTTTCAACTTTTTAGAAAAACATCGTTTAAAAAACCAGCAACAAGTGATAAAAAATACTACCAAAATTTTGGAGTTTGAATGACCATTGGAGGCTAGAAATCATTAACTTTAAAGGGGCTCGGAAGCGCAAAAAATAGATCTTTCTGTCGGCTAGGTATCTTTTTATCTATTGGAAAACCCCACAGCCAGATTGCTAAAAATGAGGCCAAGCGTCATTTGGTGCTCTGTGTAGCTGTCGATACCTAGCCGCCAGAAAGGGTACTGCGGCCACTTCTATGTTCCTTGAGTTTTACTCATAATACCTTTTCAGCGTTCTGTTTTATTGCTTTATTCTTACCAAAAGCGACGGGACGATCGTGTCGCAGACGTGCGTCTGCTCAGCCTTCAGAACTTTGCACGTGTTGCTATAATAACAATGGGTTTTTTTTTGTTTTAAAAACCATGAATTTTTTAATTAAAAAACGTAGATTTCTACCGGTGAGATGACCTGAAGAAAGCAAAACGTTTTTCGGAGTGCCCAACTCACATGCCGAATTCGATCAGCTCTTCGTCGGTCGAATTCTGCGCCAGAAGTCTTTGCAGCCCATCGACGAGAATCATGCAGATGCGACATTTTGCTGTTTGATCGGCTGGGCCACCCTGAAAATGCGCTGTGCGCTTAATTTTTGGCCACCCTATTGGTCCAATTCAGATTTTTGCCTTTTTCTCCCTGAAAAGCTTCATAACGTTTTAAAGGGCACGTTCAGGGACCTTTTTTTTTTGGAAAAAGCAAAGATTCTTGCCGCGGGCGGGGGTCGAACCCAGGCCCCCCGCTCGGGAGGCGCGGATGGATACCAGTCAGCCACAGCTACAACCTGGGCGCCCCACGCGGCAAAGGAGGGGAATTGCCTCCCGCAGCACGGGCAGGCAGTGCGCGCGGTCCCTACGTCCATAGGGTGTACACGTTGGGACGAGTACACGGCCCCTCCCTGAACGTGCGCTTTAAAGCTTTGCAAGTTTTGAAACCAGTTTCGGAATCAGCAAAAAATTCTGCACAAATTCTGTAGGCTTGGTCACGTGTGGAAACGCGATTGTCAGTAAAAAACTTCTCCTTTCACGCAGGCAAACGAGCCAAAGAGGCCAAACGAAAATTCTTTTGCCTTAAATTATACTAAACTATGGAAATCGCTCTTTAGGAAACACACATCGCTGGAAATTCCAGCAACACTCGGAAAAATTGAAGGGGTTCAAGGGTTGGGCCTCGGCGAAGAAAGAGAGACGCAGGTTTTCACAGGTGCATACGTACAATAATTACTGTACGTATACACTTGCGTATGTAGCTAGTTAAAACGAAATTAAAGTCTGTACAAAACTATGTAAAGTATCCTCCAGTGATTCCAAATACCTACCGGAACTATTTTCCAATTAAAGCTACATGGCCCTGAAAATATATAAAAAAACCAATTTTATTCCATCGGCGTTAGCGGGCGGAAACCCTTTTTGGGTTGAGTTTTACGCTGTTTTTAGATCTATCGCGCTGACAAAAACGCCGAAAATTTAGAAACTTTGAGCAAAAATTATGGAAAAATCACCAAAAAAGTCAACATTTTATAATTTTAATGACTTTTAGCAATCAAAACTAGTCGGTATTCTATAAAAACACTATTATATGTTATTCTTAATAGTATGAACGATAAAACTCTCCGCCAAAAAACCCACCGGAACCTCCTGGACCCTGCGCAACAACCCGGCGGGTGTCACTGGCAACTTTGCCGTTAAAACCGCAATCGGCAGTATCCACAATACAGGATATAAAACCCTCATGCCTCGCAGCACCCAGAAAAACCTGTGGTATGCACCGGGAAATCAACAGCCCCGGCAAAAAGCGCCCTTCAGATAAGGCAACAATTAAATGGGCCATTTACGGCGATTTACGCCCCTCATTACTGGCCCCTGCACTTGGGCACAACAATGAACGGTTTGGGCATGAGGGCGTTGTGGGAATCAAAAAGTTGGTGCAGATAGGATTCCGGGGGACTACATTAAATTATCGTGTTATCTTCAGGTACAAAGTAATTTCGGTGCTTTTACACCCGCGCCGGGGCGGCCCGGACTTTTGACTACAAGATGCTACACACTACGTTTTTAAGCCCAAAGGTTATGTAAGAGCTCACAAAAAAAGACTAACAAGGAGTCGTTTTTGGGTGTGAATCGAGTTTTCGAATTCCACCCAGCCAGATCGGTAGAGAAAACAATTCTGAGCAAGATCACGTTTTCAAAATCGGCTAAATGGCCATATCGATAGAGAAATTAAATTCTAAATTTAGTATATTTGACATGATTCGCCGTCTCATCCACCATTTCGGCGGTGGTCGGGTGCGTTGGCATACCTCCCACCATAGGGTGGCGCATTGAACTTCTTGTTTTTTTTTTGTTTCACAGTTCGATTCCTCGACAATGTAAGTTTTTTGCCTAATGCTTTTTTCTGCCGGAGCCGACTTCAGGAGTCCCAGAAAGCAAAAAGCAAAAGATTAACAGGGGAAAAGTTTTGAACCCTAGAGAATAATTTGCGGTGCTTCCGTGTTAGCGGGGGAGCAAATTTTTTTTAGCGGGGGAGCAAGCCGAATAATTTTTTAATTAAGCCTATGCCTGCATAGTAATAAATTAAAATATAGTTTAGGAAGGGTTTTTGTATAGTTTCTGATCACAAAAACACTATGAAACTCTATCAAAACATTTTATAATTCTGAAGTTTCTGACCAATTTGGTCCTTTTTCAAACGTTTGGGCGCAAAAATTCAGTGTTTTCTAAAGTTTTGTAATCTTTTTCAAAGCATTGTTCATACGTGTTCAAATTCGCGATTGTTGTTGGATCAAATCACTGTAAAATACTATTGGAAATTGTTTAACTTTAATTAATCCACCCCTAAAACGCCTTCGCAATAAATTATTCCTTGCTCCCCCGCTAACACGGAAGCACCTAATTTGCACAACGTTAAGACGCAGCCACACTAGCCAATAGGCCACGAATTCATGCGTGATCGGGCGCTCGGTTTGGCCTATTACCCGTGCCCGGAGGTTCTATTTCATTTTTGCTAGCATTTGCGTGTGGGAAACCCTTGTACATCCAATGCTCGCGAATCTTTTGCGAATTTCCCATATCTCACATTATAAAGGATAGATAGGAAAATAGATAGAAGAGGCTGGATATGTCGAACTGAAGGAGCAACGGTAGCCGAAGAAACAAAATCAGATAACCACTTTACAATGGCCCTATCATTAACAGTGTTTTGCGAATGCTCGAGTGCCAAATCATTTTTAAACTCCCGACGACGCTCGGCTTTTTGCAGAGCATCAATCAGCAAAGTGCATAGCTTCCATAAGATTTACTTACAACATCTGGCGGCTCTCTCTTGAAAGTCCTTCATGCTTATACGATCCTTATTCGTTACTCATGAGCAACGGATCAACAAAATGGTCTTTGCGCCGGAAGCCCGCAAAATATACTCGTTTCACGTCAGTATCTTTTCTAGAACTTGCTTCTTTCGTTTCTACTATCTTAATAACTCTAACTTAGAGTCTCTAAGTTTTTAGTTACAATTAATTGGGTTTGGGAAATCGATTACGGAGTGTAAACAGGTGTTGCCCGTTGGTGACTCGTTGTGTTTGAGGGCTAAAAACACGCCCGTCCCTGTTTTTGTATTTGCAACAGCTTGCTCTTTCCAACCTTTATTTAGTTTCAGGATCTTATTGTTAGCTAAATCAAAATCACTAATTCTTTAAATTCAAATCAATTAAATCGATTCTTAATAATATTGTTTAGGCGCGATCTTTACCAAGCAAGTGATGTCCAGGGATCTTCCACCACGATCCAAAGAGGAATCGACTTTTGCCACGCAGACCGATGTCCGACGCGAAATTAAGCAAGAGCTACTAGGTACTGCAAATTCTTCAACTAGTTACTTTTTAGCTTACTATGCAATTTCTTTGGAAAGTTCCGTGATTCGCCAACTGTTGATAAGGTTTTTGAGCGTAAGGGGCTAAATTCGTCCCATAATCCCGTACGGGCTCTTATCAAATATAGGCCTTTTTGTAGCATTTTAAACTCGGCGCACAAGTTTGAAAAATTATGAAAATTTCTTAAACTTTCCCAGCAATGACAAAACTGCGAAGATCAATGTGAAGACGTGCTAAATTTTATTACCAGATTTCATTCAAACACCTTTTTTCCTCAGAAAACGACGTACGCAATGGACATCGCAAGGGCATTGATGAGCGAATCGATCATCATGGCGCTGTAGATGTTCAAACGGGTATATTCAAGTGTTTATTACGATATTAAACGCAGTTTAGGTAGCAATCCATTCGAAGAGACGAGACGAGTCGAGAAGAAGAAGGTGAAAGGAAGTCAGGACGAGGCAGATGGAGTAGACGTGACGATCCGATCAGAGTCGCCGCCCAGAGTAGCTGTTGTACAACCGCGCATCGAGGCCGTTCCGGGAAGCGAAACTGACGGCAGTCTGGACAAACGCGTGGAGGAGACGATTGTAATAGATTTACGGCAATCAAATTCACTTTTTATAGATGGCTACGAAGTTGGAGCTGGCCAAGATCGACTCCGACATGGCCAGAACGCGCTCCGCCATGAGAGAGACGAAATCGGACATGGCCCGCATGCAAGCCAACATCGCACTCCTGGTATGCATTTTATAGCTTTATTTTATTACTATTTTACTAGTATACATAATACGTTCCATTTCAGGAAACCATCTCGGAGACGCGGAATACCGAAAATCGTCGCCTGAAGCAGCAAAACGACCAGGTATCCCACATTTTCCGCGTCTACTTTCTTTTTTATAGCAAGCCTCGAAGATCAAGATGCTGATGGAAGAGCTTGCGGCGCTGAGGGCTCGGATGCGCACTGACTGATGGTAGAGCGGATACCGAGCACGACGCATGAAACAAACAATATTTATCACGATATTTATTATACATTTTGTTAATAGAATTCTTGTTGTTGCACGTTGTTATTACGTTGTTGAGCCGAATAAATTGTTGCTGTTGAAAACCGATGTTGCGTTTGTGACGGTTCTTGGCCAATAGAAGTATTTACCACATTCAAATTGCTCAAGTCTTCTGCCAAGTTCCTCGGCTTCTTCAGCGATTCTTTCGGCGCTTAACATTTTTTAATTTAGATATTTTGGCTTTTTTTCTTTAAATAGTTCCCCGGCATTTATCTATGTTTTTCTAGAGGACGTAGGTCTTTTTTGTGCATCTTTCGGCCCTAGCGTTCCCGAAAAACGGGGCAAAATTTATTTATTCCCAACAACACGCGAGCGAGTGGAGGCGCACACACACATTTTCACGGAGCAACACCTTTCTGGGGGGGGGACAAGGAGATCGTGGATGAATGGTTTTGTTTTTAGAGAGTCTGTGAGTCCGCAAGGCGACTAATTACACTTTGTACGGGGCGTATTTTGGGCCGTTAGCCGTTTTTAGGGTGTCGGCCGGCCTTGTTGATTTACTGACTAGTCTTTTCACTATAGTTTATACGTACTGAACCAGGGCCAGTGGGGTGAATATTAGAAACTCAGTTTTTGGCGCCAGCGTAGCTATGTAGTAGGAGGCGAATATTCGATCCGCGCCATGGAAAACGTAGCCGAGTATCTTCATAAACTTTTTTTTATAAGTTATTGGCAGGACAATGCACGGATTGTTGATCTACCTGAACCTGGCGAGAATTTCGATGGGCTAAACCTGCAGACAACGCCGGAAACTGTAGCGTATACTGCTGGGAATATGCCACCGATTTTTCAAAGATTTGGCCCATCATCTTTCCCCAATTTAACAAAAAAAAAGGATCCCGAGGCTAAAATTTTTCGACCGCGGCCCACGCTGAAATTTGGGTTTGCTTCGACCCGTTTTGTATTTTCGAAAGCTTGCCCGTTGTAGCTTTTATTTAGTTTCAAAATCCTATTTCAATCAAATTCACGATCGTAGTCAAAATCCCTAATCATTCTGTTTAGGTGCGAGTTTGGTCAACCAAGTCATGTCTAGCGATCTTCCGCCACGATCCAAAGAGAATCTCTTTAGCTAAAAAGAGATTCCTTAAAAAAAAGGGTTTTGGGTCGAAAAGAGGAGACTCTGATGCAGCAAAAAACGTCGAATTCCACAACCTCCCAAACCTGAGAAAAGTCGAAGTATCAACCAAAAATTGCTGGGTTATTAAAGCCCGGGTTTAAAACACCATTTCACCTCCAAAAAATTTGAGCATTTGTGCCATTTCTAGATGTCCTTCGTCACCACGCCGTATCACGAAATAGCCACGTGGTTTGCTAGCTTAACGCTCGAAGTGGTTGAACCTAGAGTCCGCAATGCTTTCAACTCAAATAGGATAATTATGACAATTATATTAGCTTGTAGTTTGATTAGGAATAGAGCAGGAGCATTTCAATATGCCAAAAATAAAAAAATTGAATTGCAAAAATTTAGGGAGGTTTTCCTAGGTGCCAGCCATTTTTGGTTGATCCTTCGACTTTTCTCAGGTTTGGGAGGTTGTGGAATTCGACGTTTTTTGCTGCATCAGAGAATCTCACTCTTTTTTCGAACCCAAAAACCCTTTTTTTTAAAGAATCTCTTTTTAGCTAAAGAGAATTTTGCTCTTTTTGACCGAACTATGTTCTTACAATAATCCACTTGCGTGCAGAAAAAACTACTTTTTTTGGTATTTTGGCGGCGGGAACGGAGGTTATTTTTAGTATTCCCGCGTAGGGCAGATGTCGCTATCATTATCTGCCTGACCTCAAAAGAGTCCCGACTCTGAGGCGCACTAATGCCCCACAAAGCCACTCTCCACGTCACCTAATCTTTATGCAAAAGAACTGGAGCATCATAATAGAACAAGCAACACAAATACGCTTGCTACTTAATTCTTATCGGCTCAATACGACATTTCGGAAAGCTTAAAATTTGCGCTAACCCATCTAGTCTGCATATCTTTCTCCTTGGGGATTGGGTATTTACTCGGGGGCTTTTACCCAGGAAATTATGATTTCCATCGTAAGAATAGTTATATAATAACCGTACATCATGGTCAGACCCCTTATGATTTTTACTACTTGCATTATTTCCCTTTCGGCGCTTCTTACCACGTATTATTATGATTTTTTTTTGCCTGTGGCGCTGACCCTAAATAGCCAAAGCCAAAAATATCGGCTCACGGATGGGGCGGCTCGTGATGATTACCGTAAAGGTAGATCCTCAGTGCTAAAATCGTCCTATCCAAACCAAATAAGTCTGATAAAAATAAGGTAACAAGTGGGGTCTGTTATTCAGGCGCGGGGGGGGGAGGGGGGAGACGAGATAGGGGGCTTCCATTAGTGGGGAGGGCAAGGAGAGGCCCAGACAGAAAGGACGCGCACCCCGTATTGCGACCTCAGATTTTCACGTAATCCGGCCGTATCTCAACGTAGAACGTATATTTTACGATAATCTCTTCAGTTAATATTAAAACAATGTACAGTGCATCACTATGAGGAGTTTCAGCGCCAACGGAAGTCGACAAGATACCTTTTGACTCCAATCTAAATTTTGAACTTCAAAGTTAAATTAAAATTTTTTGAAGGCCTATTTTGAAAAAAACGCTTCTTCCTGTCCGAGATTAGCGTGCAGCCAATACCTGGGCAAATTTTCAGCCAAAACCGTCCATGGGAAGGCACTTTTCGACGACTACAAAGGTTTTGCGGATACACAGACATCCTGACAAACGCAGACCCCCTCTGAGTACAAAATAAAACCACTATTAAAATTCGAAAATTGACTTTTTTGAAAATTTTAATAGCTTATATTGTGCATAACATGCCGCCGGTTCCGATGGTATATTTAGTTTTTCGATCCGATGCATGGTTCTGGCTAAAATCGGGTAAAGGACCCAAAAAGAACCCCGAATCGACTTTTGTCACGCAGGCCGATGTTCAACGCGAAATTAAACAAGAGCTGCCAGGTATTGCAAATCCTTCAATTAGATGCTTTTTAACGTACCAACCTAATTTTTCTTGGGAAAGTGCCGTTTTGTTGCTGAGATTTGTAGCGGGGCGAGGCTAAATTCGTCGCACAATCCCGTACGGGTCCTTAGCAAATATAAGCCTTAGATATAGCATTTTACACTCAGCTTACATTTTTTTACTTTTCGCAAAATGGAAAATGACGAAGAAATACAAACTTTTTAAATCTGGTTGCGATTTTCTCAGCAATGAAAAAACTGCAAAGATGACTATCAAGATACGCTAGTTTCTATTGCCAGATTCTATTCCAACGCTTTTTTCCTTAGAAAACGACGTACGCAATGGACATCGCAAGGGCATTGAGGAGCGAATCGATCATAATGGCGTTGTAGATGTTCAAACGAGTATATTCAAGCGTTTATTACGATATTAAACGCAGTTTAGGTAGCAATCCAATTGAAGAGACGAGACGAGTCGAGAAGAAGAAGGTCAAAAGAAGCCAGGACTGTCCAGCGGAAGTAGAGGTTGTGACGATCCCCTCAGCGTCACCACCCCGAGTCGCTGTTGTACAACCGAGCATCGAGGCCGTTCCGGAAAGCGAAGCTGACGGCAGTCTGGACAAACGCGTGGAGGAGACGATTGTAATAAATTTACGGCAATCAAATTAACTTTTTTAGATGACGATGAAATTAGAGCTGGCAAAGATCGACTCCGACATGGCCAGAACGCGCTCCGCCATGAGAGAGACGAAATCGGATATGGCCCGCATGCAAGCCAACATCGCACTCCTGGTATGCATTTTTATAGCTTTATTTCATTACTATTTTACTAGTATACATAATACGTTCCATTTCAGGAAACCATCTCGGAGACGCGGAATACCGAAAATCGTCGCCTGAAGCAGCAAAACGACCAGGTATCCCACATTTTCCGCGTCTACTTTCTTTATTATAGCAAGCCTCGAAGATCAAGATGCTGATGGAAGAGCTTGCGGCGCTGAGGGCTCGGATGCGCACTGACTGATGGTAGAGCGGATACCGAGCACGACGCATGAAACAAACAATATTTATCGCGATATTTATTTTGCATTTTTTTTAATAGAATTCTTGTTGTTGAAACGTTGTTATTACTTTGTTGAGCCGAATAAATTGCTGCTGTTGAAAACCGATGTTGCGTTTTAGGACGGTTCTTGGCCAGTAGAAGTATTTACCACATTCAAATTGCTCAAGTCTTCAGTCTCGTATCGACGGCATGAGGATCGACTATAATGATGTTACCGTAGTTTAGGCGCAGAGAAACAAAGCCGGTTGGCGGAATTTAGAATGTCAATTATCGGGGTCAGCACTGAACCGGCCGCAGATTAGTGTCTTTGTTAGCTGGATGGTATCGGAAATTCGAGTCCGAAATTTTCCTTTTGCATTTTGGCTCTCAAAAATATCGTCGATGTATACGGTGCGTCGACTTCACGATCTTTACGTTTTCTGATTAGAATGACACCGATCACGCCTGGAAAAGGCCGTCCGATGAAGCGCCGATCGCCAGCTGACGGAAATCAGACACATCAGGAGGAGGAAGGAGATGATGGAACAAAGGCCATTTGTAAGGTACGTAATCAAACCTTTTTGTTGTGTGTTTCTATGTAGTCTCGAATACCACCGCGGCTTACCACAAGTTTAACGGCGAAACCTTGCTATTTTAAGCTTTTGTTCCAGGAATGCAACCATGCGATGTGCAGAAATGATGCTTTTGTGCTCGCCCAGCACTCTACTACGCACATCACCTTCCAGCCCTACGATTGTAGCGGTATTTCCAATTTTCCGAATACACCTATTTCCAGTTTGTCCTTTCACTGCGAAGCTGAAAATGGTTTTGAAGAGACATCTGAATGCCAAACATCGGGGGTCTGGCGAAATCTTCGATAATCGGTATTTTCACTGATTGACTTTGACCTAGAACTTTAGCACTGCTGAATACTTTGATGCACTCGAGGCGAAGACAAATGCCAATTTTCCCGGACACTCAGCGGCAATTACTAAATACATTGAGGGTCAAAAAAATGTATCAGGGATTCAAGATGATTTCGATCACGGTAAGAATTTTCCCCGGTTTTTCAGCAGCGTTTTTATAGAGGATGATCATCAACAAGACAATCGACAAGTTGCTGGTCTCCTGGCATCTGACGAGAAAGAAAATGTGCCCACGAGGACGGAAGCTTCACCTTCGATTCCTGGTATGCTCTTTCCCAGCAGCTAAATTTAGTTCGTTTTAATTAAGCTATAAAATTTACCTCTTGATTCCAATAATAATGTGCTTTTCAGCTACTCCCTTGATCAAACAGGAATGGGAGCCAATCGCCGAGCCACAATCCAAGAAGAAAAATGCTGCTCCAACGCTTCCGCTTCAACGCGATGTCAAGCAAGAGATGCTCGGTACGTGCTGCAAATTCTTTGGTTGAAAACTCGGAATTTGAATTTTTTTTTCATTTGATTTTAGAAATTGACGTGGACGAGGGCGTCGTGGAAGCCGCGATCCCGATCGAGCAGCATGTGAAGCAAAATCTCCCGATTAGTACGTTCAAATGTTTATTGTATTATTCATTTTTAGATCGAAATCTCATCGAGCTCGGAGCCAACAACAACAATCCAGCCGAAGAAGTTGTCATGGCCCCCCAGCCGTCGAACGAACGCCCGGATGCACGCCTGAGAGCCACATTGGTATGCTAGTAGTTGAGGTCGGATGGTATTTTTTTTTAGATGAACTTTAAGTTCAAATTTGCCAAACTGCAAGCGGATATGCTGGGCATGCAACCTGATATGGCCCTCATGGTATGAAATTGAACGGCTTTCTTTCTCGGCTTTCACTCGGCATTTGACCTGCTATGCATTTCATTTAGGAAGATGTCGCGGCGGCCGGAAGTGCCGAAAACGAACGTTTGAAGCAAGAACTGGGAGAGGAAATCAGCCGCCTCAAGCGCGAGAACGACAAGGTACTTTAATTTCACATTTTGTAATGTTTTTTTTCAAGAAGGACAAGCAGATTCGGCTGCTTCGTCACGAAGTTGCCGTTCTGAAGGATGAACTCGGCATTGAGTGATTGGGGACGAGCGCCGCGCATTTTTAAGGAATTTGTTGTTAGATTTAATTTCTAGTTTTAAACTGTTGAATACTTTTATTTTAAATAAACTGTTGTTTGCAAAAAACAAGGTTGTTCTGATTACGCCGGTTATTTAGCCGCTTGTTTGTCGCCATTGTTGGACATTTTGTAAAACTTGTGTGATCCGCGGTGGTCCCCCTTCGAGCGGTTCGCAAAATCAGTCCGATGCGGGGATATCTATGCTGGTATCATCTTTGATTTTCTCGTGGCTGAATTCCGTATCGCACAGCAGCTAGCAGGTGAACTCGTGTGATGAATCAGATGCGCGGATTTCGGCTCTCCTATTTTTTGGAGAAAAGAGCGCGTGTTTGATAAAATCTGCCAGTTCCGAGCCGAAAAAGCGCGTGCTCAAATCAGCAGTTTCCTGATTTTCGCGGGAGTCAATTTGGCTAATAATCTGCAGCTGGTTGCGGAATTTTCACGGATTTCTTTTTGCACCATCTAAATGGATCGAGCCATAGGTTCTTTCGCATTATCCTGGACCCGATTTGCCAGAAATTCCTAGTAACATAATCGTAAGTCGTGTTATAATAGTATTTTAGTATGATTCCACTAAATTCAAGTGCAGAACTTTTGTTTTCCTTCGTAATTCTGTAGTTTTTAACCAAAATCGGCTATTTTTGGCAGAAAAATGAAATTTTTAATAAAAATTGTACAGTTTAACGTTACGAATAGTAAAAAATGTTCGAAGTATGGAATTTCTATTGGAAAAATGGACGCTAAGCAAGTCGGTCTCCCCGATAATGCCAAAGTTCCTCAGCTTCATTGCGATTTTTTCGGGGCTTAACATTTTTTAATTTAGATATTTCGGCTTTTATTCTTTAAGTATTTCCCCGGCATTGACGTAGGTCTTTTTTGTGCATCCTTCGGCCCTAGCGTTCCCGAAAAACGGGGCAAAATTTATTTATTCCCAACAACACGCGAGCGAGTGGAGGCGCACACACACATTTTTACGGAGCAACACCGTTCTGGGGGAACAAGGAGATCGAGGATGAGATGGGTTTTGTTTTTAGAGAGTCGGCGAGTCCGCAAGGCGACTAATTACACTTTGTACGGGGCTTATTTTGGGCCTTTAGCGTTTTTTTAGGGTGCTGGCCGGCCTTGTTGATTTCACTTCCTCCTCAGGATCGGCATCTGGCATTGGACGGGCGACAGGAAGCAGATCCGAGACGTTTGTCGCTGCACGAATGGGGCCGTCTTCCTGCAACAGGCAGTGTTTTTTGGCTGTTCTTTCGCATTATCGGGTGGCCAGCTTGTTTTTTTATTTCTTTTTTGATTTCCGAACGTGGGGTTTTTCCTATAAGTTCCGCCGAAATTCCTGGAAACTTTTTATTAGTTTTTTTTGCATGAATTGGCCATCTTTCAGGCGGCAAAACTATTGCGAAAACCTAGTAAAATACGCAGAAATTTTCAATTTGAGCTGAAAACACGATTTCGTTATTTTTGACCTAACTTTTGGATCTTTTTACGGTTACAAATAGTGTTTTTTATTAAATTAGCCATATTTCAGCGGATCAGCTATTTCGAGGACTTTAAAAATGTACCAAACTTTCAAATTTGTCACGAAACATCCGTTTGTAGGTTTTTCTAAAAATTTGTGATGTTTTTAGGGCCAATACTAGTAAAAACCAATACGGAAATTTAGGAAAAATTGGATACTTGTAAAAAGCGATCCACCCGATATTGCGAAAGTACCCAAAGCGTCAAATCGATCCTTTCATTCGCTAGGTCTGGACAGCCACGCGACACTCAAACCACGCTTTTGGGTTTTTACGCCTAGTTTTCGATGTATTTGCGCCTTCTAGGGGGAAATCCATCGCGCTTGCATGCGTATTTTGGCGCGCAAAGTATCTATCGATCTGCAATCCATATCTAGCCGATTTGAGGGGTCGATTTTGACACTTTTAATCCATTTAAATTAGTATCTGATGCGACAGAGGCGCAATTTTCAGGCAACGATTTCCAGAAATTCAAAAAACCTCTAAAAATGGTGAAAATTTCGAAAAATTTTTGGACTGTCGGACCGGCCGGAAATGGAAAGCCTTTGCGATCATTCGCCTTCCATGTATTACTACGTATCCTTCAAAAAAACGTACTGTGCAACGTCAAAGTTTTGCGGGTGTCGCTTCCAGTGGGTGTCGAAGCTGTCCAACGATGGCTCGGCCAACGCGCGCAGCATCATATTCTCGCCTCGCGTCACCCTGAAAAGTCTGATCACATTATGAGTGTGAAGCGGAATGGATAGATAAATTATCTCTCTCTCTCTCTCTCTCTCTCTCTCTCTCTCTCTCGCTCTCTCTCTCTCGATCACGCTCTCTTTCTCTCTTTATCTCTCTCTCTTTCTCTCTATCTCTCGATCTCACTCTCTCTCTGTCTCTCTTTCTGTCTCTATCTCGCTCTCTATCTATCTCTCTCTCGCTCGCTCTCTCTCTCTCACGCTCTTTCACCTCTCTCTCACCTCACGTTGTACGCGGTGGCCGGGCTGCAGCAGAGGACGATGAACAGGACGGAAAGCACGAGCTTTTGCATCTTTCGCTGCTTGTGTTGTACCCTGCAAATTTTTAATTAGGTTTAAAATAAAGTTAGTCGTAAAATCGAGATCGAGATTAGCAAAAAATGAAAAGCAAATAAGGGATTTTCAGAAAATCCAGATGCAAAGAACACCTGTTTTTCTAAAAAAATAAGGCAGAAAAAGCTGGGCTATGGTCGCTAGGTTTAACTGGGTTAGCATCAGGGGCGGTTTCTACAGTAACACCTGCCCGTTTTGGGGTAAAAATTCTAATATTGACGTAGGGAGAAAAGTGGGGGTGGGCTGGGCCTTGTTTAGAGCTAATTATAATTTTAAGCCGTTAGATAACCTGTTTTCCAGCGACAAGAATGCTTAAAGGGAACTTTTAATTCTTAAATTTGACTCAAGGAAACGAATAAAATCAATTTAAATCAATTCAATAGACCGGCAAGGAGATACCGGCTCTAAAGAGACTTTAATGAATATACTCTTAATGTATTCGTAGTAATTTTTTGGTATGAATCCCTGAAATTCTACCTCAAAACCCGATCGCTGGTTTCGCGAGGCTAATTTTGGGATGAGCAGATGGCTCGCAATTTTGCAAGTCGGGCGAGAGAGAGAGAGAGAGAGTGAGAGAGAGAGAGAGGGAGAGAGAGAGAGAATCGTGAGGGGGTTGCTCATCCACTGAAATATTCAGGGGACTGGCATCTGGAGGTGCGTTTGTCACCCGATACCAAGTCATCTTTAGTAGAATCACCTTTTCGGGGGTCATCCGCTAGTGATGTTTTAGAAATGCCTAAATCATAGGATTTTTAGGCGCGTAAATTATTTTACAACGTAAATTCCGGAATTCTTACGTCAGAGGCATTAATGGTAGTTACAGTAAGATATTCGCACTTTTTCGCGTCATAAAAATTTTTTAAAAAGGACATAACTTTTAGATATTCTACGGTATTTTTCTAGCTTTCTATTAAGCCTAAGGAATTGGAGTCAAATTGCATATAAAAACTAGAAAAAAGAAAGGCTCTAAAACACCCAAAAACTTGAGAAGATTACCGTAATCCGGTTGGCGTTTGCCAAAAAATGTGAATTTTCAGTCAGAAACGTTTTAAACAAGGTGTTTTTTCGTATTTCGTGGCTGTGTTGGGATTTTTGGAGCATTTCAGGTCAAGCTTTAGCAGCACACCCGCGCCTGCCGTATTTACAAACAACCCCCATCCTGATCCCCATTTAGATATCTCAGCTGCACTTTTAGGGCCTTCTAATGCCTTAGGATTTTGGCCCCAAAAAGTCGAATTCAAAAAAAGAGGCAAAAAAATTCTTGCAGGGATCGTGAAAACATTTTGAGCAAATGTTTAAGCTTAGAAAATGTTAATTTAAATTGAGAAACTCGCGAAACACGTAAAAACTCGAAAACGCCGAAAATTGGCGCGATTTCGCCTCCAAAGGGCCTTTAATTTGAAAATCGTATGGTGGTAAATTGGTGCTAGCACTAAGTTTGTTATGTTAGTGTTAGTATAATTTAAATTTATTTGGAAATTATTGTGTCAAGTTTCATTTTTTCGAAATTTCAATGCGCCGAAATTCAATTTTTGATCTATTTGAGGCAAATCAAACGAAATGCAATTTCAAATATTTGCTCCAAACTCTAAAACAAAAAACAAGCTCAAAATCCCCGCCAGGTGCCGAATGGAAAGTTTCTAGGCATTTTCTCACCCTTTATAAGTGGCCATAACCCAAGGCTAATCCTGGAAATAATAAGAAAAAAGGAAGAAATGACAAGGCATTTTTGAACTGTCTAGTCTTCTGCGAGAATTTTGAACTTATACGAATTCTGAAGTCAAATTGTTGACGTTGGGGTTTAGTCTGGAAACGTGAGGGCGGTTTTCAATCAAAAAAAATTTTTTGAAAGGAGGGATAAGCCGAAATCCGCGCAAATTTCAGTTTTCACCTCACCTCGACGGGGCTATTAGAATGGTTTAGAAATGTCATTTTTGCCGGACAAAGAACCGCTTCGGGAAAACCTTCAGTCGAGGAAACGTGTGAGGGTGAGTGAAAAAATTGGTTTATGGTTGAGGGGAAGTTGTTTGTTTTGGGGGAGGATCGTCTGGCTCGAGATTCTCCTCATGCACGGTTGGGTGAGGGGTTCTAATTAGGGACCGTTGAAAATTCAGGCTTTAATCGGATTTTAAAGGAACTAGCAAGCGCCAAAATCGACCCCTTCTTTCGACTAGGTCTAGACAAAAAACATTAGCCCTAAATAACCCTACTAGCCGAACCCGACATTTTCTATTAGCTATTAAAAAATACCTTCACACGCATTTTGGCACGACAAATGGCTGTCTAGATCTAGTAACAGATCAGAGTCGATCCTGGCACTTTCCAGCCCCTTTAAAGGGGCAGACAAGGAAGGGCTAGAGTTGCTCTTTAGACTAGACCCCTGCGTTGCGCTACGCAACCATGAAACGCGGTTGGAATAGGATTCTAAAGGAACTGGAAAGCGGCAGAATCGACCCCTGTCAGCGATTACGTCTAGACATATACGCTTTAAAGGCACAGATAAGTCAGAACTTTCGCTTCCTTACGGACTCTGCCCCGGCCGTGATACGCAACGCGGTTGGAATCGAATTTTAAAGGGACTAGCAAGCGGCAGAATCGACCTTTTTCTTCCGACTAGGTCGCGACAACTTTAGGGACCAGACGAGATATATAGCGCACGCAACGCGGCTGAAATATGATTTTAAAGGAACCGTGAAGCGCTAGGATTCTACCCCTTCCTTTCCGTAGGTCTAGACGACGACGTGCCGTTCAAAAAGACGATTTTAGCAAAGGATTCAAAAGAAATTGACTATTGTTTTGCTGTGACGTGTAGTTGTCTAGACCCAATGGACAATAAGGGTCGATTTTGACGCTCTCTATCCCTTTTAAAGGGCTTGATAAAGCAAGAAACCGATGGATTTTGTGCCATTTAAGTCCAAACAAATTATATTTTTGTTTGTTTGATGTAAATGGCAAAGTTTTTAAGGCAGACAGCTTTTATTGAAGAATCCTACGGTGCTCCGCTATGAAATTCAGCTGTCAGGATACCTTTAAAGAGCCTAAAATATCTATATTTAGCCTAAACGCCCACATAAAATGAGATTTTCACCCCGAAACCTCGCATTTATATGAATGAGAATACCGCCAGAATACATTCACAAATTGGTCTGTTAATAGGCTACTGTATTTTCGTGCGATTCCTATTTCAAAAACACCTAAATTCCAACCAAAAAGTACCGTAATTTGGTCCCAGGGCGGGGAACGGGAGTAAAAAACGTTCGCCCGGTTCCCAGGGAGCTGGAGAATTTTGTAGGAAAAAAATAGTGACGAGGTCGATGGCCATTTTTGGGCATGAAAGGGGCTTGGAAGTCATAGATTTGGGCCTAGAATGTCTAGGAATTTTTCTGGTAAAACGCGAATATCCATAAAAGTATGCTAATTGAACTTTAGAGGCTATTTTACAGCTAGAATTTCTGAAAAAGCTAACAAATCTGAATTCGGTAAATTTAGTATTAGGGGAAAATTCGATTACGATATGTTTTAGAAATCCGCAAAATGAAAATTGTCTCGGCATAATCGAATCGAGGATCTAAAAAAATTAAATATAACTTCGCAGTCCCTCTAAACTCCAGAGACTCGATATTTTGGGTTCCAGAAGCTACAGTAACCCGGCTGGGCCAAACACGCGTTACAGTAAGCTGCAAAAATCCTCAAAAATCACGATTTTGTCGCCATAATACAGTCGAAAAGCAAGGGCAATTCAAATGTAGTTTTCCAGTCTCTTGAAAACCTGCAAGTCCGGATTTTGTGACAATTCTTGATATAGTGTTTGGCTGGATATAAAAAAATAGAAATAAAAATTTTCGGCTTACTGAATGAAACCGGCAAAATTTCACTTTGACTTCCCAATCCCTTTAAAATACGAAAAATCCGAATTTCGGGAAGCTATAGCAGCCCCTGCCCAAGAGTGACCTCACTCGGCTTCACGTGGGTGTGTGGGCCCCAGCCAACTTTTTGACCTGCCTGGAAAAACGCCAATTTGCTCGCCGAGAAATCTAGGGGAATTAACGCAGCGCGAAGCCTAAGAAAGTCCGCCCAATTTGGACTCGAATGGACTCGAAAGAGGGCTTTTTGCGATCAAGGTCTTCTAGGGAATACAATTATCAGATCAGGAAACACTTCCGGAAAATGGGATTTTTCTAGTGTTACCTGGAATCTTAAGAAGTGGATCAAAAAGTTGAAAAGAAAACGACTCGAAAACACGGTTTTTAGCTGTTTTTAATAAATAGATCAATTGCAATTGCAACTTTTAAAGAATTTAAAAAGTAACCTGCTCAAAAGTAATTTTTTAACATAAAACAACGAAATTTCACTAAAACGTCAAAATATTCCAAGTAGCTAGCCGATGCGTGCAAAGTTCAGCGCCAACACACTCTATGAAAACATATTGACGCTGGAATCTGCGATTCGAGGGCGATGAATTTAGAATTAGATGGTCCCGAATCTGGAGCACTAGGTACGTGCTTTTCGGCTCTCCAGAAACGTAGGACCCAAAACTCAGATCCTTAAAAATGTGAGGAGTGTACTTCGGTAATACCGTAGCCAACCCATTTTGCAATTCAATAAACCGGAAGTCGAAAGTGACCCGTGATCAAAAGTTCTAAAAATTGCGCCGAATAAACTTGCAGGCAGCGGATTTGTAGCCCATTGGCAGGGCACCGGAAGTGCGCGGATCAAGGGTGCAATAAAAATTAGGAAGTGCCCTCCACGTGGGCGTGTTTATAAAATTAGGATTGTAGCTACGGTGGATCATCACTGGTGGTCCAAAACGGGCCACCAACCAATTTTTTCAATTTCAAACCCAATCTGCAATTTTTTTCAGTTTCAATCCTATCTCAAACTGCAAAAATTTTTCTGAATTTTTCTGGAATGGACATAACACTGCATATAAAAAAGTACCATCAGCAAAAAAAATTGCCCA